CACACACACACACACACACACTCACTCACACACACAAACCTGTATCTCGTCTGCCAAGGGAACATCCAAATTTACCATCTCACCATTTCAGGCAGGACAGTTAAACGATCACTCACAATCCTGATGATATCAACAGCCTGACTGGATTATTGGAATTCGAAAGATTTTCTCGAAACTGAAATTCTATCAATTCAGAGCAAATGCGTTTAAAAAGTTCTTTCAAAAAATAATAGAATATTCTGAATTTGAGGCTTTAAAAAGACTCAAATGTCAAAATGATTCTACCTAGATCTTAAACATGTTAAATATGACTCTGATATTCCCTGATACGTGTCGTACTTGACATAGGTCTTGAATTTTTGAGTCATTGTGTTTATAAAAAGTCTTAAATTGAACTTGTTGAAACCCAATATTAAGGCACATGATTCAATATCCACATAATAAATGGATTTATATAGTTTCCTTTACCTCTTTGACACCAAAATTATCAGGTATAAGCAGGTTTTGTAAATCATCCTGTATCTGTTCATTTCTTTCCTTCACTGTTGAGGGTCTCAGGCTGCCACCGAACCCTCCTGCTCTTCCCACCCACTCGTCTGACCGACGCGTGTGGCCGACTCTTCCCACCCACATCACCTCCACTTTGTCGAACTCGTCTAGCCACTGACATACAAAGACCTCCGCTCCTCCCTGCCCACCTTCCTTTGCCCGCTCCTCTCCGTCCTCCCGTCACGTCCCCGGTTCAGTCCCGGCTCTCAAACACGTACAGCAGAGCTCACCCGCTGCCCTCCCACTCTGTAATTCACTGTCTCCGTCCATTTGCACTGCTCGTACTTGTGAACTCTTGAAAAAAACGTCCCTCTGTGCCCTTCTGTTCACGCAACGCTGCCCTCAAACTGCACTCTGGCGAGAAACAAACTAATCTAGAGTCCAACAAAACCAGGTCCTGGATACAAATAAAAATAAGTTGCAGAATCACTCTTTATATCCCCATGACATTATGCATTCTATATTTTGAGGGTTCAATATACTGCTCGCCAGTGGGCCATTATTATTCTTTACAGTTACAGTTGTGATGACATTTATCCATTGGACTTTATAGTTATATACTATAAGTGTCCATTATATGGCATCTTCAATGGTTCACCAGTTATGACGACTAGCAGCTCCTCACATTGTGACCTGAAAAGCAAAGGCCTGAAAAGTTTGCATGTTTTGGCTCATTTATTAAAAATGACAGACAACTTTTCCATTCATGTCCATATGATATAAAAATTAAGACGCTGACTCTCATAGCGAGCATTACATCTGCATAAAGTGAGTTTCATTGTAATTATGAGATAAACCAAAGCAGAAAACTGCCCGCAATGAAAATTTAATCAAAGTCAACACAGACTCGATGCCCAAAATGATAAATACACAACTTTCAGGAGCCTGCAAACTGATTTTGTACACAAATGAAATACATCTACAAATCTAACCTGCTGCCTCTACTTGAGAAATAAGACGTACACCGCAGTAGATTATGGCTTGGGTTTCGTTTTTCTGTCCGAACCCGAACACGTGCGGTATTGTAAGGCCAGGGATTACTGAACTGGAACTGAGTGAATGAACTTCCATTATCATGTTGTTGTGTTTAATTTCTCTGTAAATCACAGAGACAGAAAAACATTTCTACAACAACCACTACAACTCCCACCACCGGCTATAATAACAATAATCATTACAGTAATGTTCATATTAAGTCGACTCGTGTGAATTTACATGAGCGTACAACTTTCTTAAATTTCCATTAATATTTCCATGAATCTCCTCAACATTCATCCACGGCCGCCACATTAGCCTGGCTCCCCTCGCTGCATGGTGCCTGTCACCCCGACACAGCTGAGTGGCATCGTCTCCTCCATGTCATGTCCTGCTTCCTCGCTGTCACTCACCCAGCAGCTCTAATGCAGCACAATGGGCGGCTGTGGCTGCAGAGCGAGTCGTCCACTAACGAGAAGGTCGGCTGTTTGATCCCGGTGTGCCCCAATCCATGTGCCAAAGTTTCCTTGGGCAAGAGGCTGAACACTAAATTGCCCCTGACGACCGTGTGTGAGTGACATGTGATAGATAAAGTGCTCTCTCTCATCAAAACGTGATATAAATAAAGAAAATTCACAGCTGCGGAAGGATTCCTTTTTTTTTTTCATCCTTCTGGGAGGTTGACTGACGTTTGTGATTGTGTTTCAGGATGGAATGGGAAACCTCCATTTAAACCAGGACGGGATTCGCCTGGAGGGGATCTCCGAGTTCCTCCTGCCTCTCTATGTGAACGAGATCCAGTCCAGAAAGGTAGGTTTCTCTTCTCACCATCTTCCAGTTGCTCGTTGATTGATATTCTGTCGCAGTAGCAATGAATGAAAAGTAGAAACAACCATGAGAAATTCTCCCACAGATGAAGAGCTCCCCAAAGCTGCAGGCAAGCCGATACTGAGCCTTCACATTTGCGATCAATTCATTAAAGACAAGGCCAACTTCCCTCTGCCTTGATGATTCTTTGATGCTGCACCCTATATTTGTGCCTGGATAGAAGAGATTCAACTCTGTCCACATCTCTCCTCCTCATCCTCCTCATTTCCTGTCACCCCTCAACAGCGCACCATCAGGGCCTCCAATCGACAGGAAATGGGTAATAGGCTGCCTCTCGGCTCCTCTCAGGCCACATACAACCCTACAGGAGATTACAGACGATTACAGAGGGGTACAGAGTCCTCCCGCTGGATTTCCAATCAAGCCGACGCGATAAATTCCCCTCTTCTACTTCCTCCCCTTTCTCCTCTTTGATGTTTAGTTGATTAACCAACACAGCTCCAGCACAAAGTTGATCCAGACGTCCTTCTCCCACACGAATCGCAGACGCTCAGTTGGCTCCTCCCCTTTTTCAGTGATAAGGCACGATGCAGAGAGAAACGTTAGGCCCTGGAAGCCGGGACTCCATGTAAATTTGTTTTTTGAGCAAAGTCGATGGAGGAAGGGGCTCGATCGTGGGCCACTCTCGCACTTTCATGTTGTAGTCCAGCTAAACGTTGATTTGAATACAACACCCGGGCACTTTGGCATTAGCAGACACCTCAAGGCCGAAGCAGACACACCAGCCAAACACTGGACAAAGCCAATATCTCATCCCCCGGTGCAATACCACCTTGCAGACATTTTTACTGTCTTGTTTTACAGACAGGCTGTGCAGTGGCACCCTTATCTACCGGCACCAGAGATATTTGCAGGACAAAAATCTCTGTGGGTCACTCGATATTTCTCACCTGAGGAAATATGTCAAGCACCGAGGGAGCGGGGATTATGGTTATCCAATGAGTTTACACCACAGTGCACAGTGCTGTTCTTCACTCCGATAGCCACTGTTGATCAATAAGCCATTACCGCAAACAGCAGTGAAAACTGTAATACACCAGAGACATCTAAAAGTTTAATATAGTATGTTTTCTTTTTTTTTTTTTTGGTAGCGTTCAAAGTCCGAGCTGCCAATCGGCCTCGTAGCTGAACTCAAAGGAGCTTTCGTTTTATTTCTCGCGGCTCAACCAGTGCTTTGAATCTTCATCAATGGCTGAAGCCGTAATCTGTGAATACCAAGTGGAAACAGCTCCCGCAGAGTTTTCTTTTTTTTTTTTTGGCAGTAAAACTGGTCTGGCAGCAAATAAGGAGCCGAGTAGCGCCTGAAATCAGCGCTTCCAGTAGCATGTTGTGAAACGAGAGCTGGTAACGTTTCATATGTGGTTTAAGCTGGAGCCAGAAAACACATCAAATGTATTCTGTTTGCATGTCAAGATTAAAAAGGAAGTTTCTCCAGTGAAACTTTTATCTGAATCAGAATATCTGCTTTCCGATGTATTTGAAATTTTCCGTCTCTATGTTGAAAGACAACTGTGTTACTGCATGCATGTGGCCTTACTTCAGTATTATCAGTTCAGTTCCTTCCACATTTCATCCTTGTTTATCGCCGCTCTGTCCATTGCACCAAAATAAATAAGAAAGCAGAGACGCTGTTAATCGTGAACGCAAAGTGTGAGCTCAAAATCTGTATGGTGCGATAATAAACATGTTAATGAACTCACATAAATATCTGTAAAAACAAAAACACAGAAAGTGATTAAGCACGTAAGATCATTTTATTTTTCAAACATATACTTAGCTTATCTTGTTGTTTAATATGTGTAAAGAATTTAGGACATTCAATGTAATACAGTATAATCATATTATGGTCAGGTTGGTTATTATTTGACATTTTTCTACAGGAGAGATCAGGATTTAAAACCTCCTTTACATTCTGTTCCAGCACGAAACAGCCGAGATTCAAGGTGGTGACCAAAACTGAGCGTTAAGCAACAGAAGAACAGAATCTACACTAGAATGTTCTCCCATGAAACATTTACATTCACTAGATCCAGATTTTCATTTGGGTCTGCACCTAATTGCACTCAATCATACATATCCTGAGATATGATCATAAATATTGTTTTGATGTTTCAGCTTTAGGTCTCTGTTCCTCTAGGATGCAGAGGTATATGAAAGAATTGCATTTTTAAACTATTCACATTATAATTTCATGGCATCATTGTGACTATTTCATAATTTTATGATCAGTCCAAGCTTTATATTTTCTCTGGCAGTGTGCTGCAGCCTCCAGTTAAACCAGATCTGTCTGTCACAGTTGACAGGCAGATAGATGAAATCATCTATATATTATTTTTTCATGCCCACGGGGCTTAAACTATATACATTTCTATCCATCCATCCATCCATCCATCCTCCTGTCAGCTCCTGCAGACAGCTCAGCACAGCAACAATTGAGTTTTTAAGCCAAAAAGAAGTTCCATTTGAGAAGCATGAAAAAGATATCCAGGACGACCTCAATGTCAAATGTTAACACATAAAAATTTCAAGCGTATTATTGCCACACAACAGCTCCAATTATACGTGTGAAAGCCGAAGTGCATCTATAATTTGCAGGAATCAGCGGAAATTTCACCCATCTGAAAAAGCCACAGAGTGACTGTAATTTCAGGCTTTTTCAGTGAGTCACACTTGAAACTTCACCTTCGCACGGAACATGGCATCCATAATTGTATGAGATTTGTCTATTGAAATGTTGAACAAACCCTTTCACTCTCAGACACTTCAAATTTTTCATTTTCTATTTCTGTCAGATGTAAAGTCCTTTGCAGCTTTCAAATTTTCTCATTTTTATTGACCTATAGTTTTATCCCAGTAGTTTTGAATCTTTTTGAATTAAGAATATGTTCCTGCAGACTTTTCTTCATCCATAAAAGTCATATTCCATCGTACTGATCGAATGCATTGGTTAGATTCCTATTAGATATCCCAAAACTTAAAGACACCAGAGGTCAAAACATAGATCTGATGAGCAGCAGTGACATTTTTCAGAGTGGTCAGTCCGTTCAAAGCGCTGCTGGATATCCATGTATTCCACAGGATTTAAACTACAACCTGTTGAGATGTGAGCATCTTTATTTATGTTCAGAACTACAGGAGCTTATTTCGCTGATTGTTTCCTGCTGTTTGCTCGAACGTGTGCGGGGGAAAGAAAAGAAAATAGCTGCTCGAGGTTTTTTTTGCAGACATGGCCTTTGATTTGCTGACACGTGGGGATTCAAATAGTAGGTGGACATACAGTGTAGGATTTCTGCACACGTATAGATTATGACAATTTTTTGTACTTATCATATTGCTGATGTATGGTCAAAAAAAGTAAATATCAGTGACTTCGTATTGGATTTTTTGTTTTTATAATGTATTAAAACAATGTGTTATTTGCTTGTTTTTATTGGGTCTAGTGCTTTAATCATGGTTTTGTTGTGTAGTTAGTTTTGAAAGTATAATGCACTTGAATTATCCATAAATATTTGCAAATATATAAGAGAGGTGATTTTAATTTATTTCAGGCCGCCTCGTTAAGACTGGCTCAGGATAACAGATTATTGTTTTAGATTAGGAATTAGTTTGTGCAGCAAACTCTGGCTCATTTGCAATATTTTGTCTGTTGACAAATGATCAATGAATAAACAAGATCATTTGGGTTATTCTGCGTCAGTCATCACACTGTTGTTTTGCGCTTTAACAGATCTCAATGAAAAAGCTTCACACATGAGAAACCTACGGAACCAAAATCATTTATGGGTTAAAGAGGTTTGAACTTTTTAAGGGGGGCTCTGGCTTTGACTGGTCACATCTCCTTTCCCCAGAGACACTTTTCTCACATCGTTTTTAAGCTCGGTTGCAGCTCCATCTTTATCCAACAGTATGCTCTCCTCAATATAAAAAATAACGGCACCATGAGTTATTATATTTGTTAAAGCTAGAGTTGGAAATGCTGGAAAAGCTTGTAAGAGCAGGCTACAATTAGAGAAAATTGCACCTGATATATTCCACCCTCGACCATTAGCAGTCTCCTTAAAGCTACACTTTTGCATGAATCGTCTCCATCTTCTGGCTACACGTCTCTCTGGCTTGTGAAGACGGGCAGCGTACGCGCAGGTGGGCAGGCCTGTTAGTGACGGGCAGGCACACCAGCTCATCATTTCATCAGGTCCCGATGAAATGATTGGTTTTGTTTATTAAGCTGCTGTCAGACAAACTAACATTTACTGAAGTCTGGACATTCGAGCCTCTGAGTTTGTGTCTTGGGACGTCCTCAGCAGGATTCACTGCAAACAAGTGGGTGTGTTGATGTTTCTAAAACATGACAGATGCCAAAATTAAAAGAACAAAAAAGAATTCAAGAAAAAGCGGTGCCATATCCGTAGAGACACTGACAGAGATGTTGAGACAGCTTTTGATGATAAGGGCCGACGCTGGCGCCGATTCTCCAGAGACCATGTCTGAAATTGGCTTTACAGTCCTTTTGTACGTGAAGACGATTTAAACCGATAAGATAAAAAGTGTTTCAGGGACAACCAACCCTACCTTTAAAGTGGAATTGCAAAAAAAACTATATATTTTAAAATCACCATCATGTCGTCATGTGATTTGGCTCAAAAGTCTGATTTGAATTTCAAATAAACTCATAAAAACCTGCTAAAATTAACATCATGTGCATTGACGCTGTTCTGTTACCGTCTGCGTCAGTCTGACAACAGTGTGGCACGAGGCAGCACGGTGCCCAGATACAGTTCATCAAATCTCTGCCGTTCAGACTGTTGGCTCGCGTTATTGTCTCCTGGGACCCTGACTGATCTATAAATAGCATCAGATGCAGGTGTATTTTTTACTGGAGAGTGAAACTTCTCCCTCACTAATTCTCAATGTATAAAACAGAAGTGTAAGCACCATCACTGGATTCAAGTCTGCAGATGAGGAGCAAAGCCTTCCACTTATTTCTCTAAAATGATGGCGTCTTTGGAGCAAACTGCGGCGGCATCTTCAATCTGAGTTTGCACAAAGGAATTTAATTTGGCCACAGCATTAGTACACGGAAAAACAAGGGGCCTTTTAATATGAGAAATATTAAATATGCATGCAAACATCTTCCAAAACCGTCTGTTCCCTGCTTGCAAAGAGTCTGCCTGCGAGGTTAGAAATTTGAAAGCGGAAATGAAGACATAATAAGCGTACCTTTCCTACTTATTTTTTTTCATTATATTTACTTGTTCAGCTCAGAATGCAAATTAGCTTCTGGCACAACAGGCAAATATAATTAAAATTGAGATATATTTATGCAAATATTTGGTTGGGATTACAGTTAAACCCGGAGCAATGTTCTTGATCCGTGCTTTAAATGTCTCTTTTGGTCTTTATAAACACACAGTCACAGAAAGACAGGAGGTCTCTTTGTTTTTCAACTGTTTCATGGCAGCCGTGCATCGTGCTTTTACTTTGAGCTGTGATGTTAGTCATTCTGTGCTGGGCGGCATCCTTTGCCTTACAAGCAGCCGTGGTAATTTCTCAGTCTGATGGGGCCCTGTGCATGCACAACAACAAGCTCCATTTATGTGCATTCACTCTGGTCCGCACTTGACCTTCCTCAACGGGCGCAGTGACTAAAAAGCCTTTTATGTAACCCTGCAGAAGTGTTTGGGAGAGCAGCCACGTCTCCGTTACGGCCCCTCGGGTAAAAGTTTAAGACCTATAAACTCTGTAAAGGGATACTTCAACTGGAGAACTCGCATTTCTTCATGATGCCCTGCCTCCTGGAGAACTTCTCAATTCATGATGCACATTTATATCGACAGAGCAAGCAGGGAATGAAAATGCAACGAATGACCTCTGCAAAGTTACACTGGACAAACTTGAGATGATCCGCAACAATGTGATGCTACAGTTAATCCAAACCATTAGGCTCCATCACAGCAAAATTAGATCAATGTGAAACTATACATGTTACAAAAATAAACATATCACAAAACTGATTATTTCGTATACATATATACATAAATATGTCAAATGTCAAAATAAATGGGAATTCATTGAATTTGCTCGTGGAGCCTTTGGTGTAAAGTGCAGCTTCAGTGACAAATGTAAACTGTCCTGACAGTGCTGACCTTTCTGGAAAAACAAACTGGAGAGTACAAAATGGAGGACGCCGTCTCCACAAAACAGATGCAGCTCAGTTGGCAGTTAGTCGTGAGACACAAGTGTGTGGTACAGGATTTACTCTTTCATTAACTGTTAAATGCAGCACGAATCAACATTTCTGTTTCAAGAATAAGTCAAATAACGAAGCATCACACACCAGGCATCAACTAGCTTGTGATCATAAAGGAGCATTGTGGAGCTAAAGAGAGATTTCCCAGGAGGGGGTGGAGACCCAAACTAAGTTCTCCCACAATGTGGAAAATTTGTCTTGGGCTCTTCACCCATGCTGCAGCCATAAATATACACATATACACTAAAACAAATCCACATTATGCAACAAATATCAGCCCAAATACCTGTGTTAATACATAACATGGTACCATATTGTGCATAACTGTCCATATTGCAAATACACGCAAATTCACATGCAAGTAGTCACCATATAACAGTCTTTAGCGACACATCAACATGCATCATTATTGCACACTTGAGTCAATTGTTCTGATTTACCAACTGTGATTTGGGTCTCAGTTAAAAGTTCAGTTAAAAATCAACAAACAGAACAATATCTGTACTGGTGCTGTCGGAAACATTTATTGAAGAGTTAAGGTCAAAATTACAATAACAATATCTAATACAACAAATAGTACACAGGTATGTGACAAGTAAACAAAGGAAAACTACAAACAAGATGGCGACTGGGACCGCCTGGCTGCTGTGTTTCTTAGTCAAGGCCGGTTGGTGTCTGGTTAAAAGACAGATGCAATATTACTCATTATACAAGGAATCTACTGACATGAACTTAACCCAACTACGAACAGACAGCAATAAAGTCAATAAAAGTTAAACTGTCCTGTGCTCGGTCGTGTTGCACTCTACGAGGTTGCATTACCAATTCCAGGGAGGGAGAGGAAGATGCTTTGTAAAGTTTTGCTTTTTAAGTCCAGCCAGGCTCGACGCCAACTCTGCTTTGTGGCTCCTGTCGCCTGCAAAATCACCCGGCAAGACTTTGTGTCATAGCCGCTGGTGGTAAATTAAACCTGTTAACTTGAGGTTCACCCGCAGGCGGAGCAGAGTTGTGGCGGAGTGCTCTGAGCAGGCCTGCAGGGAGGTCAGCAGCTCCGCTAGTGAAGAGCATGGGCAGAGAGAGAGAGTTGTTTCTGTCTCCATCACCAGGAGAATCAGAGAGGGTGAGGACAGAGAGAGCGGGGGTTTTATTGGGGACATCTAACTATCTGGTGGTTGGGTACAAGGGCAGAGCTCACAACCTGGGCTGACAAAACATTAATATAAATCTAAACAGTTGGGAAACACAAGCCAAGTATCGGAGGTAGATGATTTGTTTATGTGTTCTTATACTTTAAAATGAGCTTGATGTTACAGCCTTAGCCGACGTTTGTCGTCTGGAAAAGCAGAAAACATCTAAATCATATTAAGGAAGATAAGGAAACTTTTAAAAACAGGAAAGATAAGTTGTGTTGGAAATCACACATACAAACAACATATTATTTGCGTATCTTGCTACTTAACGTAATTATAAAATTCTTGCGACAAACATTTCTTCTAACATCTTCAATTGATTCAAAGTAGGGAAACAACCAGAATCCATTGTGTGCACTGCCTTTATGAAACTGCAGGGTTTATACCAGGTCGCTGCTGATTGGCCAACAACTTTGACATGCCCACCAAGAAAGACAAAACGTACCTTGGAGCATGCTGCACACGGTTACGACCTCGAGCGTTAAAGCCTTGTTTGCATGCACACCATGACGTGCACACGAATGCGAAACAGCTATAAACTTGAAAAATGCAAAACTGGAGGGAAAAGCGACGCAGGTCTGGAGTTATAATGTCTGCAGAGAAGAATATAACACACCTACACCTGCTGTCACTGATGTTAAACACAGACACCACCTCTCATTAAACCCTTCCCACACTGCATTACTCATCTTTGGAGAATTTTGTTTTAATTAATTCCGTCTTAATGTAAATGTGGTGTAATTTAGAGGTTTATACCACATGGGAAGGTTTTTACTGCTCACTACGCAGGTACACTCAGATTCTGGTGTCATACAGTATATTTAGATATAAAGTGAATTGAAATGATAAATGTATCACTCACCAAAATCTCTGAATGGAACAGCGTCCCTGTAAGGAAGTTCAACAGCAAGCAGTCAGATGATGATGATGATGGTGGTATCTCAATCAGGAATTAATATTGAATTTATATTAAAGATGGACGACATGGTGGTTTCCTAAAGTGAATCCAATTCATCTTGATCGCCACCTGGTGGCTGGCTACTGTATAGGTCATAAATTCCACCTGTAATATGTGACTAAAAAGTCATTTAATTCGATATTTGATGCTATAAAACAAGGTAAAACCTCATCAACATTATATAGATCACATTTTATAGAATATTGTGACATTACAGCTGCGAAACTATGGTTCTACCTTAAAAAAATATATCTCACCTGTATTATGATTAAGAAAAACAACCAAGACCGTGCTGCCTCCTAAAGGAGACAGAATTAAAGTTAAGATTGAAGTGAACATGACATATTTATCCTTTCCCTCTCTCCCTTCCTCTCCCCCAAAGGAAAGCTTGCTGGTGTTCCGATCAGAAAAGAACGTGACGCTGAACGCCAGAGACGACCGAGGCCAGCTGACCGGCCAGCTCACAGTGGGTGAGTCCACTGCCTGGAGGAGGTTAACACTCTGGAGCAGAAGAGTTTTGTGACTCACTGTCATTTGGGACACAGGTTTATTTACTTAGTAATCCAGTCCTGGCTGTAAATGACCCAATCAATCCTATTTATTACCCACTTTAATCAGCTGTAGCACAATTATTCATCTTTAAATTCCCTGTAATCTTCTCTGTGCTGGTAAAATACACTGTGAGGATTTCACACTAACCTTTGATACACTTATTGAAAGGGCAATGGATTCTTCTTATTATCGTTAAGTTTAAGCTTCAGCCAAACCAAATTACTGGAGTCTTTTACATGATTTATGACCACTGGAGAGCAGATGACCTGCTTATTAACACCAACAGCCATCGATTTGAGCCAACATAAGTCGGGAGTTGATGCTGATTTGACGAGACTGATGATGTGACACGTTTCGGTCACGCTTGGCCTTCCTCCAAAAATGAGGAGCGCCTGCTTTTGAAGAAAGTGCATTTTATCTGGAATGAGATGGAACTCGGTCGAGAATAATTAACTTCCCGAGGCGCCACAGCCTCTGGATTAATGGTCGAGAGAGGAGGAGGAGGAGAGAGGAAAGTTTCTGCGAGCACATCTGGAAAAACAGAAAAAGTGAACAAGAATTAATATTCCTCCGCAGTAGAAGAGCTTACTGATTTGTCTCCATTTGGAGTAAAAGCATGGCTGATCCAGCTTTGTTGGGCACTTTTCATTTGCAAACACTTAAAAGTTTCTCACAGCGCTAATAGTCTTTCTTTCCCAGACAGAGTTTCCTGAAACACAAACAGACTTTTTTTTTTTTAAACAACGCCATTTACAACTATTAACGTTAGAATTCCAGATTGATAAAACTCTGTAGGTGTAGCTCTGTCCTCTAATGTTGATGAATTATCAAACTAGAAAGTTTATATATTTTTGCGGAGCAGATATGGGTTTGTAGCTTTAATCGATGCCTGCAGCTTCACTCTGTAAAAATCTGTAAGCAGGACCTGAGGCTGTGGAGGCCCAGTGTCAGAGGCTGGAGGTGCGAAGTCGAGATGGAGGAAGACTGCTGTTCACTGCAGATGAAGAGGAGGTCATCATGACAACAGAAAAGTTCATCGTCACAGGTAACATGTGCCTCAATCTTTTGACACATCAGATATATTTATTATTAGATCTTAAAAGCAAAGAAAGATAATTTGAATACCATTTTTATCAGTTCCAAAAAAAAAAAAAATTGTTTCTTACCTCGCTTGTAAATTTCATGAATTCTAAAAGTACGTTGTATCGTCAGGCTCTGAAGGCGCCGTGTTTGGGCATTCAGTAGAAACTCCTCTGATCCAGGCGAGAGCATCCGAAGACCTGAGGTAAGTCCACGAGATTCATTAAAGCTTAATGTCACATGTTCATATCCTGTTCAATTAAACAAGGAGCTCTTTAAATAAAGATAGATGGAGGAACCCTCATTGAGCAGCATCATTATTCTCAAGCAGCCTCTCGTAAACTAGAGCAGCCACTGGTCGCCTCGTTATCACACAAATTCAAAAACAAGATTTCACCATTATATTAATTTCACGGCCGAGGGGCGAGCTAATTTGTTGGTTATTCTCTATAGCAGCGAGGAATTGATTAAAGTGTGGAGAGAGTGTGGAGACAGTGGTTGGCACTTATTAGACTCGTACGCTCCCGTGCATGTGATCCCCAGCACGTGCACGCTCCCCCCGAGGCTGCGAGTGCGTCGTCGCTCCTTTAACGAGCTATAACGAGTGCGGTTTGTTGTCCACCTGACTGGTCCTGGGGGGAGGGCCGGGATCAAAGTTGGCAGAAAAAGCAGTGTTCTGGCAGCTAATTCCTCCAGAGTGAGAGGAATACTGATGAGGTTCACTTTAACACACACACACACACACACACACACCTCAGTGGTCACCATCTGCTATGTGTTCAAAATCTTAACGAGGAGCCGCCCAACAGTTGAGAAAAGGAAAACAGCGACATGACTTTTACTTGAGACAGGATTCAGATTTTTTATTCTGTTCAAATGAACAGATATTTCTCATCAAAAACAAATTTCATTCAAATAATGTCAATGTTTGATTCAATTTAAAAACATATCTCATGTTAATGTCTTTTTCCAATAATCTCATATTTCTGCAGGACTGAAATGTTTTTCACACCAGCAGGAATAAAATTAGAACTGGACTGATTTATTGGTTGGTTAGGAGCCTTTCACATTTCCATATATTGTAATATTTTACGTAAAATGAATTATGAACTACTTTATTTGTTCAAGTACTTTATATTTGTTTGTATTTCACAGCTAGAAACAGGTGATGACCCAAATGCAGAGTCCACGTGAGGACAGATCCAATAAACAATATTTAATCTGACTTACGGCTTTGAAACACGGGTAGAGCTGTCCAGACATCACACACGGGCTGAAAGTGAAAATCATAGCTGGGAATTAACTGATGAGGAAGAAACACCAGGGGAACAAGTGGGAACACACAGGTGACACCAGACACAGGTGAAAGTCATTGAGGGTGACGCAGGTCGTCACAGGAAGTGATGTGCTCTATTAACAGGAAGTTAATAAACTCAGCAGACAAATAACTGAGACACACATAAAAAACATTGGTTTATTGGCGAATATATAAATATTTGAAGTTTTATTCACCCTCTAATATCACAAATCTTGTTATACTGATTATCTTTAATGTTTAAATGTGTATTGTGTACCCCCCTCTCTCTGTAACAGGTTGTAAGTTTGGTCGGAGTAAAACCTGTGATAACTCATTCCTCCTGCACTGTTTCTTTTTCATTAATCACATCGACACAGTAAATTATCAGCCTGTTGATTAATCGCTTGTGTGTAATTCTGATTTATCGCGTGATATGATGACATCATACCGTATAATTACAGCAACACTGTCATAAAAATTCTCTGACATGCACACATCCATTTTTATTTTAAATACTCTATTAACTCTTTTAATTTCCTGTTTCTCTTTTCCACTTTACATTACCATGTTTTTATAACAGAATTTTTTGGTCTTATTTGTTTGTGTGACTCTGGGACTTTTCTTCCATATTCATGAGTTTCTCTCGCTACATCGCATCACTGTCTTGTGTTTCATTTCTCTTTTAAACCAGCAGCGATCAGAGAGACGCTCACCTGAGATCTTCTCCCCTGAGAAACACCTGCTCTCTCTCCCCGCTGACTTCCTGTGTGTGTACGCTCACACTCAACTTTGTCTTCATTTATCATCGTCACGCTGCTTCTGAATAATTGAATATACTGCGAATAATAATAAGTCCATTGGCATTCATTTACATATTTTAAGTTAACTCATGAACCTCGATACATGAGCTGGACTGAATTTGTATTTGCTTCACCCGTCTGGTTTAGTTTCAGTCTTTTAGGACGTGGCCTGGTGTACAGATTTATATTCCCACAGACAAGAACAACCCGAATGACTTACAGATAGAAAACCAGAGATCCTCTGCACAGCAGGGCAGATCGGTTAGTTTTATTTATTTCACATATGTATTCACAAATAATGAAAATATTTTAAATTCAGAGGATCTAAAAATCAAATCATTTTCAAACCAGGAGCATTACATACATCGTTCTTCTATTCACAAGAAAAACAAACAAAGAGAAGGGTTGTGTAAAGGTTGGTATTTTCATAGACACACTATTGGTACGATATTATTACTCCAAACCAAAATGAAATGATAAGCTGAATTAAGGCAAAAATAATCTCACAAATAAAAAAAGAAGAGAATTGGTAGAAAGCAACAACAACCCTGCGCTCCACACAGCACAGCAGGAGAAATGTCCGCTACTAAGGATTATTATTATCTTAATTCATGAATTAAATATTTGGTCTGTGAAATGTTGATAGTGAATAATGTTCATCCTAATCGTTCAGAGCCCAGACATCTCTCTCCATATTTAGTTTCTAATGATGACTCCTGGGAATCGTTGTGTGATGTTTTATTATTACCAAGTGAGCATAGTAGTGAGTATTAGTGATAATATTTCAAAGTTTTAAAAAGTTTTTGGACACGTGAGAAACTGCCCCTGAGCTGAGGCCTCTGAAACAAGTGCAGAGGTGTTATAAAGAGAAAACGCTCCCCTCGTCAGAGACCTGTCCGTTTGTCTCGTCCAGCTTCATTACGCTCTGATCTGCACCTTCACCTCGCCGTCACCTCTGTGGTTCCCTTTCACTCTCAAAGCTTTGTGTGAAATCTGAGGACAGAAATTGACTCGCAGAAAATCTGGGTCTAGAGATGAAAATATTTATAACATAATCAGATCATTCTGCAGCTAAATTTAAGATGACGGTGCTCTGATTCCCGACGGGCGCGTCAGAAACTCATCAGTGACAGGCAGCAAAGCCGTGGGATGAGTGCTTTGATATTTTTACTGTCATACAGCCGTCGTCTTGTTTGTTCACATTCACTGGGACGTGTCTGTTCTCCCGACATCTATTGGTGATCAATACCAGCAAAAAGTCTCCAGGTCTCAGCTCTGTCAAAAACAGACTATTTGACATTTGTTGAGAGTCTGTAGTTAAAAGCCAAAGCAGGAGAGGAAGGATATGAAGCCTCGTTTGGTTCCCTACATTTTCAGACCCAGCATCTGAAAAAACATTTTCACAGCTTTGCATTTTATTTTCTCTGCAACTTCTCAGCGTCTTAAGCTCGGCTGCTCTTCAGCTTCGAGGTGCGTTTGCAGAGTTAGTCGGCCGAGCAGCTTTTCAGCAGCAGCACGTGTCCACGGCAGAGTGACAGGTTCATTAAGGAGATAAAGGCCGAGGAGAACAGCTCTTCTCGGTTCCACTTAGCTCCGCTCAGACTTTGTTCTAGCAGCACTTTGTTGGGATTAAGATGTAGTGCAGCAGGAGGGTGTGTTTTTTTCTAGTTATGACTGCAGTGGAGGGAAGTGGAGTTTCTTTGTTGCTCTATTGATCTTTTTTTGAGAGAAAAGTTTGGACAGCAGAGTATATTACTTATTATTATACAGACAAGAGCTGATTTGGACTTTTGGGGTCAATTCCAATTTTACCATTGATATTATGGAGTAAAACATTTTATTATAAATAATTATGAATGAAAAGTTAACACAAATACCAATTATATTATATTATATATAATAGATTTTATTTCTGTTTTCTATATATTATATTATAAAAAAGTTTATATATCTGTAAACATAAACACTAATACCAACTTGGTCTGAGGAAGACATATTGAAAGTATCAATAATTTTGGTGACTTAAGTTGTATAGATTAAAACTTATCACAGTGTTTTTTCCTCTAGTAAAAGAGTTTTTGTAGTTTTTCGTCACCCCAGTATTATGGACGGAGGAGGTCGCACCTTTCCACACTTCAGTCCATTGCTGGAAAAATAGCCTGTGAGATCATCGCCTCGATCTGTTTCACATTTTCCGAACTGAGACTGTGAAAGCTTCTCCTCCCCTGAAGGAGATTTAGTGATTAGCAAGTGAGAAATTATTTTACCTCTCATGCTATCAAACTGTTAAATGCTCATGATAAGTCAGTGGGGGACGTGTCTTGCATTTAAAACTGCTGATGGTGATGGAAATGTGGACTATTGAAGGTTGGGTTAAATGACGGCCGGTTGTTCTCCAGGTTTGCAGCATTTTCTTCGAGTGTGCATGTTGGATCAAATTAATTCAATACATTTTTGTGAGTATGTTATTAGGTTTCCTGTATCTTCTGTTTAAGTGAGACAGTGTGCAGAAGAGTGGCGTCTGTACTTTTGCTTTCTCAAACGCAGCAGGAGATCGTGCCGCTCAGAAATGTAAATGTCCAGAACATTCAGGTGAGGGGTTGTAGCCTGGAAGCGGGACATGACATATAAATCCTCCTGCGTTTTTGTTTTCAAGTCGACATCTTCATCCGCGTCTTCTTCGTTTATTTGTATTCTTCCAGTTTCGCTTCCAACTGCAACACTCTGTTGTTGTGACCGAAAGCTGAGATAGTAAATTGGGGTGTTTGCACAAGAGATAAGTGTGTGTTGTTCAGATCTTCCCCCGTGATTCTCTGCATGGCGACCTGTCCAGGGTGTGTGGATAATGGATGGACGGATGTTTCTCTCTCTCAGCATCCAGCTCTTTTGTGTTTCGTGTCTGGTAGTTTTGTAAAGTTTGCTGCGTGCTCCCTCGAGGCCACAGACAGTCAATAAAAGTGAAACACTGTGTGATTGTGACCTGTAAAAACAACTTGTCACCTTTATGAACCCCCTGATACGTTCTGTTTTAATCAACCTCATCCACTGTGACATCAACTCCGGCCATCAGCACGTGTGGTCCAGCGCAGCTCTTTCCTGCCTGCCTCTGTGATACAGTGACCTTTCTGCCCATGTAAATGTCATTTTCCAGGGAAGGGGGGAGAGGATGTCGTAAACAGCCTTTATGACTGCAAATACCACACAGGTTATCTGTAGCCAGGGATTTACATATTCGGCTTTTTCCTGGACGGAGCCAGAAGCCCCTGAAATACTCTGAGTACAGGAAGCTTCTCGGCACTGAGGAGGATGGAGCTTTATCCGAGGGTTTCTGGACTTGGTGACATTTTAAAACAACCAAATTAGCTTCGGTAATTAAGATTGCCTAGAATCTAAATTGTATGGAAGTTAATGGAATTAGGTCATCTATCAAAGTTCGTGAGAAGGATCTTTATTGTTTTAACTTTAGTTTTAAGGAACAATTAGACAGTATTTAAGTAACTGTAAAATATATTTTAAATGATACATTTTACTACCTCTTCACTTCTCTAACACTTCTAAAGGCAAGGTTTTATTCATAAAGTACATTTTATACACAGAGGTAGATTGGGAAATGAAATAAAACACTGACACAAAATTAAAAGAAATCAATTAAAGAGAAAAAAAGTTTTCAATCTAAATAAAAGACTTTAAAAAGAGCAGAATAAAAGAGGTAAAGATATTAAAAGTCTAGATCTATAATAAAAATCAATTCAAGGAAACACACACATGCTCCTGGTATCAAGTACAAGTTCATTCATTACAGTGAAAACAGCTATCAGGAACATTGGAATTAAAATGGTGTCATTTAACATTTAATATTAAATCCTGCGCAGCCACTGATGGGTTTTTAAATGACATCTCATTAGTAGTAAAGGTTACTGGTTTTATCAATCATCAGTGAGGTGTATAATGTGACTATACACTGCTGTTATAGATAAAGCCTCACAAACCAGGGCGTAAAAACCTTCTCCACATGAAACTGGAAACAGTCTGAGCTGGTTATAAAAACCCAGGAGACAATTCTTTTAATGCTTTTATTTTGGACTGTGTCTGAAACAAGCACTCTGGGAAATTGAGCCCTTTGTCTTCTGGCGGAATCACCAGACTGCACAGTGACCTTGCGATCCTCATTGGGGACCAGACTCCAGGTCCTATGAGGTAAAACCTCAGCGCTGAGGTCCTGGCTGATGTGAGGGGAAGGCTGTGGGTGAATGTGTCCACAATGGATGGAAGACAATGAAATGTCCCTAGAAGGACGGCAAGCATCACCTTTAACCAACTTCTCATCGCTCTGTTAATGACTTGTCTATCTGAGTTACAGCTAATCAGTGGATGCTTGAGAAATAATTTTTGCAATTATTGAAACGTACAAAGCCGAGGAGCACAGGTTTTTCACTAATGAGCGTAGATTCGGGGAAATAAATAGCAGGTTGTGTCTCTACGGGAGAGTTTACTCATTTCATGATGAAATAAATAATTAAAGAAACTCAACCTGCTGATTCCATAAACGTCTGTTGGTCTGCATGTGGAATGTTTATCTCACAAGTTAAAAAAAACCTCAATAATCAATTTGATAATTTTTATCAAACTGAAAACACACACACATAAGTGCTGATCTCTGTCATGTCATTAATTGCGGTTAAACCAGGTAGGATGAAGTTTTCTAACTGCACTCTGCACCATTGAGTGTTTATAAAAAGCTCTGAGCACAACATCCAGCAGACAGACAATAAGGGACAGTTTATTGTAGAACTGTTTGAAGAGGACTCACTAATGACTCCGGAGCATCAACACAGGACAAGGCAGGTGAAGAACTGGCAATAAAAAGGAAAAATAAGCATCAATATTGCATCTGCTCTTTATTTAAACAGCTCACAAGGAAAAAATGAGCCGCAGATTGGTTGAAATAACGACTTGATGAGACTTCCATCGACTTCCCGCGAGTGTAGGGCACAAACAGTCCCAGGTCAAATTTCACAGAGCCCCTCCAAACTGAATCCACTGAAAGCTGATTTAAAGTCAAAGAGGATTTTCAAATGCAGATGAAATTCATTTGCTTTTCTCTTTTTCCTTTTATTCCACCCCACCCCCACCCCCCTCGCCCCTTATTCCACAGGCGCATAATCCGAAATGTGTGTCACTGTCAGTGGGGTGCGGAGATTTGAGCGATTTCAAGACGTCTCCTTAAAGTCTCCCATTTAAAATTCATTGAAAACCGATTTGGGGGAAGATGGCGCTGGTGGTGGTGGGGGGTGAAGAAAATCAATTTGAAACGGTTATGAGTTATGAAAACAAATTCCACATTGATTGGCTCCCACACTTATCTTTCCCCGTGTAAACAAATGGTCCATGGGAGGAAAATGCAAATTGCATTAGCCTCAGTGCTGCTGAAGGTCAAAATCAGCTGATACAATTACGGGCTGTTTAGGAGCGGCGCTGGATTAGCATAATGAGAGGAGCTACTTAAACATGAAAGAGCACCTTTAATATTCCACAGGTGATGAAATCATTGGTGTAAATGACGCCTAAAATACATTTATGCATCAGAGGCCAAACAGAAATAATAGAAGCTGCTTTGTCTTTTAAATATGTGACATTTGTTTCAAGCTGCCCGAAACCAGTGATTACACAAGGAGGCTCATAATCTGTGAGCTGAACGATCAATTTACCCTCGGACGCAACTTGTATCCTTGGCTTTTAAAATCACACAGAAAGTTTTAACAATGCAAAGATACTGGAAGTATACACAGAAAAAATTGATGATTCTGAGACGTCCTCTTTCTTTTTTCTCTACTCGTCAGATTGGAGTCTCCAACACGGACTCTGACCATGGAGGCTCCCAGGGGGGTCGAGGCGAGCGCTGCCAAGGGGCCGCTGAAGGTCAGCAGTCGAAAGGACCTGCATCTGGAGTCAACGGAGGGAGAGGTGAGGAGGAAGTCAAGAATAAAATCAGAGCTTGAAATTCTCTTTCGTGCCCATGCTGATATTTATCGGCCTTTATTTTCTTATTTATTTATTTATTTGACATTGTTTATTAGTATTTAGATTATGTCACATAATCAATCTCATAAACAATCTCACATCTCGTTAAATGGAATGCAGCACAATATAACAGACCTGTAATACATCCTCCCTTCATGAAGGTTATTGGAACGAGTTTAGAGACATGTTGATTCACCATAATGATCGCTGTGGCTTGCGGTACTTTGGCCGAAACATCTCACACGAGCACATTTACGGGAAACACAAATGCAAAAGAGTGCAAACACAACAGCACAAATGCAAACTCAACAACAGGAATGTAAACAACAACACAACTGCATAGATTGAAAATAAAGATGGACGACGATTCTCCACTTCCTGTTGTTGTACAACAATGGCAGCCACCATCTTGTGCTTTTGATGTGGAGCCGCGGTATCGTGCTCTCGACCAATCACGTCCGACAACCATAACGCATCAGACCAGCAGCAGCAGCAGCAGCCTGGCTTAAAAAATGAATAACTTACTAAATAAAAATACTTGACAGAGAGATGGAGTATTCAGCGTATTTCACTGCACTGTCACATTGTATTCACTGATTGCTCATTTATCAGTCTGAGTTAGTAATAAATCCCCTCAGGTCGTCTCTGCTGACATTATTTAAATGACCTCCTGCTCGTCTCTGGTGTTTTTCCCTCCCAGATCCTTTTAGACGCCAACACCGTGCAGCTGGGCAGCCTCCCGCTCGGCGTCTACACGGCGTCCCCCAGTCAGGCCTCCCATGAGCAGGCCGTGTACGAGGTGTGCGTCTGCCCCAGCGGCAAGATCTACCTCTCTCCTGCCGAGAGCAGCTCCACCTGCCAGGCCATGAGCAACATCTGCCTCTGGAGCTGACCTGGTGATCGAAGGACACCGCGAACATCTGCCCTGGATCAGCTGAGGTTGAGACTCATTTGACGTCGGAGCTCAAACTCTTCGGTTCCTGAGCTGTTCGGATTATTTCGGAGGCGTCTGACACCAGCGGTGGTCGAACTGAAGGTCAGGACTCACCGCTGGCGGAGGAACTTCAGTCAGCTCTCTCTGAAATCAGGAATATCTCAAACATTTCTACTACCTTCTATCGCAGTCAGAGGACACGACTTTTATTTTTCTACTCTTAAGTTCAACGTTAACACGCAGCGGCTGTCTTTAGGATTCAAAGAGAACAAGAAAAGACCAAACACAGGTGCCTTCTGCTGTGAAAGAACTCACGTCGAACCCGTCTGTGTCAAAGGTTATAGAAGTTGAGATGGTAGAAAGGGAAGTAAGCACAATTCTCTCATGGGTTTTTAGATTATTTTTGAACTTTCTTAGTTTTACTGTTATCCCCCGTGTTAGCAGCTGTTTTTGAAATGAAACATGTTCTTGTGTGGCACATCACACTCGACCTTGATAAAGACGAGGGAAACGACATAAACGTGGCTGTTTTGAATGTTCACGTTGTAAAACTCCTTCACTTTAAGGTAAATATCCTTTTTTTAAATGATGTTTACTATGACGGAGTCTTGGGGCCATATTGAACGAAAAGATATTGAGATTTAGAGAATAAGGTCCTAATATTACAAGAATAAAATTGTTATTAAATGTAATTGAATGATCAGCAAAGTTCAATTCCTTCTGTATCTAAAATCTGGTCTAACAGTCTCGTCTTTGAATATCACGCAGACGAAACAGGAAGTTTCCTCCGAGTCTGTCTGGTTCTTTTTTCAGTTTCTTGCAGAATCTTAGTCCTGATACTTGTGGTGCTGATGAGCACAAATATCAGTATTTTGTTATTTTTTGAATCCTTTGCTAAAGTATAACTGAACAAAATGCTTCATATTCTTCATTTTAACACAGGCGACAGACTGATCTTCTGATAATCCCCCTCTAAAATGACACGTCGCCTTAAATGATGCCTTTATTCTCATGCATCAGAAACAAAACAAAAATCTCACAGTGTCCCTTGTATCTCCATCATCGGATGGAATTTATTCAGTTTTTGTGGAATTATAAATGTAAAGATTTCCTGCATTTCAAACCTCTTCTCGTTCATTTAAAGTTGTGCTGCCACTTCATTCTTGACCTTGGAAACTGTAGTTAAGAAAATCTCACCACAAGCTTTTTGATCATGTTACATAATCCTCTGAAGGAGTGAGACGTCTTTAATCTACAGATCCATGACAACAGGGCACCTCCATCTACTGATGAAGCCCAAGAGTCTTTTCTTTAAAGATCATGAATACAGATGTAATCTTTAATTCATCTTTTGCGAAGTTTAAAGAAACTCTTCTGGATGTTAAGACCCCACCCAGTGCGTGAACTCTCCGAGGCGGCGGCCCTCGGTGGGGTGTGTCACTGGAGCCTGGCTGACCTTGGCTCCGCAGCTGAGGGCGAGGCAGGCCGCCATGTTACAGCAGGTCTGCTGGAGCACAAGGTCTCGCTCCACGCCACTTCCTCATCCTCCATCATCGGCCTCCAGCAGCTTGTTTGGTAAGAGTTACCGTGGCATTTTAACAAGAGCTTAGCTGATCTGTGTGTGTGTGTGTGTGTGTGTGTGTGTGTGTGGTGAGTGTCTCTGATCCCACACATCATGTTGGTCGAGCTAATGTGACAAATCCAAAAAACTATTTGTATTATTAAAGTCATTTTACCTTCTAAATGATTAACTCTGATGTGGTAATGGAACAGTGGTTTGACCGTGCATGAAAGAAAGACACTTCTTGACATCACTCACACACGACTCAGCTCATCACTGAGCAGTTACGCCTGATGCGAATGCGACACTGTGTCAGGAGAGAAACAAAGTCCATATCTCAAATAATTGAACAGATGGTTGTTTTTGAAAAGACGGAGCATACGTCTCCACTTCCTCCTGTCGTGTAAAAGATACAGATGCCGCCATTTTGCAGTTTTGACATGATCTGGAGCCAGAGACGGTGCAGAAGCGACGGCGCTGTGGAGGCGAGGTCCCGCCGATGCACGGGCTCGACCAATCACGAGTCAGTCTCAGCTGTCAATCGTGACGTTTCAGCCTGTTTTTATATCATCAAATAATTAATGCACTTGAAGATCATGATAAGAACTATATTTTACTTTTAGCTTGGTGTTCCATCCATTAACGTGGTAGAGGCGGGGTTTATGACTTATACTGCAACCAGCCATTAGGGGTCTCTCTTCTCTACATTAGACAGAGAGTGGCCTGCACAGTATATCTGGATATAATAATGATAATAAGACAGTGTTAAAATAATAACATTAAAATCATAAAACAGACAACACACAGGTGATAAAGTGTAGCAGGATCAATAAAACAGATTAGAGCCGCAATCAGTATAAAATATATTGATCATCAAAACGGTTGCTTGATTTTCTGCTGCTGCATCATCTCGGCACTAAATTAAATGAGTTCATCGAGGTTGTGAAGCACAGTAAAAAAAAAAGAGTTCATTACTCAAACTGAAACACGCCAAGTGATGTAAATCACCTGTCAATCACACCGAGCCCAGTGTCAAGACAAAGAAATGAAGATTTTATGATAAAAGAACAGAAAATTTAACAAAACAAAATGGTTTTCTTACAAATTCTCCACAAAAATAGTCAATTAAAACCTGAAATGGGAGTAATGATGACACAAACCTGCCTCCTACACATTCTATCACCCTCTATTTGTCATTATCCGTCTCCTTCCCTGTAATGTTGAAGTGCATCTTGCCTCAGCGTTTCACCAGCTGCAGGCTGAACCACGAAGAAGTCTTTTCCTTCTCCGAGCAGAGCTGGACGGAGGAGACGTTAGTGGAGTCTGCTGCTGCTGCACATCCCAACTTCTCTGCTCTTAATTAAGCCCAAAGTTGCCATAAAATAAAAACAGATCTGAGCAGTGATGCAGGAGCAACTGCAGTTTTTGTGGAACGGCTCAGCAGCAGCGAATGTTTCCAGGAGAAGTGATGAAGAGTAATGAACGTGTGACGACAGCTGATGAAGAATTAGGTCTGCTGGTGTTTGTGCTGACTCAGAATCTGACTTTCAAATGACATCAGTTTCTGTCAGAACGAGGCCGGTGAAAAGTCCCAGAATCTACTGAGAATTTCTCTGCACATTTTCTCGACTTGTGCATCATCAAATCTCAGAGTAACTCGCTCCGCCTGCAGTGATGCTGACTTGCAGCGAGCAGGCGAAAATCTACTCCTGTGGATTCACGTTTTTCTATGAGTCTTCATTCAGTTTAAAGTCTCAGTGTAAATAATATTTGGTCCTGATTCGGAAAAGTTCCGTTTATCTTCATTTTTCAGCTCATTTTCAGTTTTCATTCCCTGACTTTCATCTCCCTTTTTGTCATTTGTCTGTTTTCAAAGCATCAAGTATAAATTATAACGCAGTTGTTATCACACCTTTCAGTCAATGTCACTCCAACACATATGGTTTGCCCTTTTCTTTGTAATTTATGCAAAATAGACCAAATAATTCATGCAAGAATCTAGTTTCAAATGTGCCTCATAGTGAAAAGCAGAGATTATGATTTGACTGTAGTTAGGATCAGAGGAACTTATATCGATGGATTATCACAGACGGGTAAAGGCCAAAGATTAGTGAGGAGATTGTTCTGAATTAGTATTTTAATCGACATAATGAGATAATGTTGTGTTTCATTATGCATGTGTAGACCCACTGTCTCATAACAAGCACACATGCTACAAACTACAATAAAACAAAGACAATTCAAAGTGGTAATTCATTTTACTTGCAAAGAGTGTAGAATGGAAACACCCTTGTTACTTCCATGGCAGTTAGATAAAATAAAATAATTTATTTCTGATGGTAAAAGATTTAGAAAAGGGTCAAATTTGCACCGAGGAACAGGAAGGAAAAGAAAATCCTCGTTTTTCACATGAACAACAAGGTCACATCCTCCGTCCTGCAGGTTTATAAATATGGACCACTGTTATCTTTACAAGATGAGATGGTGTGTTCAGGTGGAACTTTGATATCACCCTCCATCCACAGACCGTCCTCATGCTCGATGGAGCTCTTTCAGCTTCCTACACAAGTTCTACTTATATCTTTTCATGCACTGGGCTGTCAAGCACTTTGTAAGGAAATCCAAATTTAAGCAAATTGAAAGATGAATGTAAACTGTCATAGGTGAACTTTGAGGCTGCATGTAAATATCCACTACACAAACAGCAGCTGATCATTGCTCCAGATTCACATTAAGCTGAAAAAAGCAGTTTGAAACTGTGGTGAAAACTGGTTCCAGCTGCTGCAGATGTGCAGCGAGTCCTGCTCAGGACTTCAGCTTTATTATTTGTCTATAATATCATTAAGTTATTTTGTGGTTGTGGCTGCCCGAGAATGATTTTCAACACAAAGTCTACAACCCAGTTCTCTGCAGATCAAAAACTTAGCTTGTGCTGCCATCTAGTGGCGATAGACCAGAAGTTCACAAGTTAACTAGTCTGCCATTAATTAATTAATTGGATTGTAAAATCAGACAAATACATCAACTAAAGTATGTTTTAAATTGTAGTGCCTTCATACCTTTAATTCAGAAAGTAAGTATCTAACAGTAAACTGAGCTCTCTAACCATCATTCATGATAAAACACAGTAAATTGGAGAAAAGAACCAAACTTGAACTAGGTAGTTTACCTGTAAGTCTAAACTTCAGACTAAATATAATGAGAAGAATCAGACCTTTGTTTTCAGAGGAAACATAAACAAAAAAAAAAAAAAAAAAAAAGAGACAAGAACTCTGAATATGGAAGAATCTTTAATTCTTGAACAAACCCTTAAAACGAATGAGTGTATCTGCATAAAAAACCCCACGACAGCTCGCCTCATGACGATGAGCTGTAACCTTAAAGTCATCTGCTGAATGAGCCATGAGGTCCCTGGTGAATTATATACTATGGATTTTCTTGACAGTAAGAATAATAAGTGAATAATAAGATCATTTTGAATAGATAGTGGATACAGATCGTTCAGATACTGGCTGTAAATGTTATCAATGTCTAGATAAGGTCATGGCACCAATAAAAAAAATATTCAAAGTCTGTGACATTGATATTGACATTGACATTTAGAAATAAAGAGCTTAAGACATTAATTGAACACTGTTCTTTTAGAACTCCAAGTTTTAGAAAATAAAACTCAATATTTGTAAAATCAGATATTGCTTTTTACTGGCATTTAATTTTCTTTTTTTAACATCTGATATCTTGTTACTTCTGGTCCAAAAATATATATAAAATATAATAAATGATTAAGATAAGTAGTCATGAACTAATACATTCCTTCAAAACCTCTACTAATAAGGGGTGGTTTCTGTGTTTTACTAAAAACAAATACTTCTTCGAGAGGCAGTAAAAGCCTTTAAACTCTGTGCGAGTGATTCTAGTTTTATTGGGAGATTTTAGATGCAGTGAAGCTCAGACGCATCTCATGTCCCGTCAGTTCTTCTCGTCGTCTTTGTGTTCAGGCACGGGCCTGTGAGGGCAGATAGGCGGACGGCTTCCATATACATTTTGCCTGCAAATGATTATGAGGACATGTGTCAGAGTGAAAAAACACAAGTCGTCATTTTTGTTATCTTGATAACAACCCTCCATGGCCGGAGGACTAACAGCTGAGAGCAGTCACTTAGCTAAAGCACATTTTTCAGTAACTCCAGTCAGGTTCATGTTAACCATCACATCCAGTCATCACACCGAGCTAACAGCGTCCTGCTCCTCGTCTGCAGAGGGTGTGAGCAATATCAATAGAAAGTGAAACAAGATGAGCTATTGTTTTCAGACTAAGACACATGAAGCACTCACCACGGATTTTCATTCTGCAAGAAATCAGCTTTGAGGGCAGATCTTGAAATGCCAATGCCATGAGGAATCCTGTCTGGATATCTCACAGCGATCTTCATCCCGTTCAGATCAAAGCCCTGAAGACACCAACAAATTGTATCTACATTTTATCTACAGGAGAAATTATTCCTGTAGGTTAGATGGAGGCTGACGTTGCTTTATTTCTTATGGACGTATGTACGCATAGGGAAGGAGGCAATAATTAGTTTTTTCTTCAGCTGACCAACTGTGTGAGGGGAGCAGAGGATGGAATTTCCCTGAGTATTTACTCAGGGCGAGAGACATGATTGGGGAGGAGGATTTTGGCGAGAGACGGAATCATCGACCTCATGCAACATTAAAAGGGTCAACTTCCATTTCTCAGCCTCTACATGGAATAAAAACCATCATGATCTTTGGAGTTAATTGCAAATCACTGCCAACATGTTCAACACAAATGCTAAACAAAGAAATTACCTAAAAATGTTGACAAATGTCAACATTTTTGCAGCCATTTGTTCTCAAAGCAAAGGCAGTGATTAAAAGTTTAACCAAACTGTTGTAATTTCATGTTTTGTTTTGAGGTGAGAAATTAAAGTTTTAGTTCTAAATGGTTCAAAAGAGATGGAACCTGAGCTTTTTTGCAACATGTGACTGTAACTGTGATAAAAATGCATCTACAGAAATTTTTAGAAATTGTTGTAAACTGACGCAAAGGCCACTGAAAGGTTTTTATATGAATTATTTACAGTGTTCAACAAACTGGTTTGCAGTTTCCCCTCCCCAGGTACATACAGTTTACATAAACATACAAGTGAACATTATACTATTTAAAAAAGGAAAACAAACAGTTTGTAGTCACACTGTAGTTCAGGCCCAGGATGCACACAGCAGGAAGTACTTACATGAAAACGTCGGATCGCCTCGTCACAATGCTCTTGTTTGGTAAAGTTGACGAAGGCACAACGTTTGTTAGTCAGAACCTTCACACTATAGACAACTCCAGCCCTGCAGGAGACAACAGGACAACTGTAATGCGTGTGTACACAACACTTCAATATTTGGTTGAATTGCAGAAATACAACAACTAAACAATCTTACTTGTTAAACAGGTTGGTTATCAGAGACTCAGCTACTGGATGACTCAAGTTTCCAACCCAAACTGGAAACAGCTCCCTGTTGAAAGAAAACATCACAATACATTCAAAAGAAAATGAAGGCAACAGACCTGCGGCCAGATCCAAATATTGATCCTCTTATTTTGTGAGTCCTTTTATGCATAACACCATCATTCACAACAGTCTGGAGTTCATAAACACGTCAAATGATTTTCTGCTCTATGAGAATATACTGTCTAATTAGAGGTAAAGAAACACCAACAACTATTAATATTCTATCTGAACAGTGTTAAATTAAGAGAACTGAATCAAGAATCATCACATAAATCACATTCGCTGATATAGTATTTATAATTGTTAGCATCACTGATAGTGAATCATTGACACGTTGACCTTTTAATAGGAAAATATTTTATGTTGTAGTATTTAAGGTGGATTCACATCACTCTGTGACACTGAAATGCTGCCGTGTGTAAACTGAGATAAATCTCAGAAAGGGACGATTTAATTCACTACAATAGAAGCATCGTGGAAAAACTCTGAAATGTTCAGAGAGTATTACACTCTGCGGTCATTTGAGTGTCTGAGTTAGTTCCATCAACGAGTTGTTGTGGTGTAGTGGATTTATACTCACGGTGGTGGTCGAATGTTTTCATGGCTGATCTTCGTGGCCTGATGAGGAGCAGGTTTGTGTTGACTCTGAATGTTTGACATATTCTGAACTGGGCCGATGACTTTGTTTTTAACGGTGAGGGCCTGAGAAGGATAACCAGCGACTGCATGGTGTGTGTTGGCTGAAAGGAGTGGAGACACACCGGTGATGTTCGTGACTTGAGGCGCTGGTGGGGCGGCACTTTGAAAAGCTCCTAAACACAAGAATAATGTTTACTATACTTTTTGTCAGTTACTGTAAGTAACTGACAAAACTTTACTTCATCGGGGGGGGGGGCACACTCACCTGGATGGTGGTGTAACTTAGACAGAACAACTAAGGCTTCGTCAACTGTTCCATGAATAATTAAAGCATTTGAGCTCTGCTCCCGGGTGAATCCACACTCCTGCAACAAAACACACATTTGAGAATCTCCAGACTTGATGTCTGTCGACACATATCGAGTGTGTCACAGTACAAAATATTCCTAATAGTTGATTTTCTGAGCAAAAATCAGAAATCTTAAATATACAGCATTTGAATTAAGTAACTACTGAGCTGGTACACAAAATACCAACCAGGTTACACCCATACCAATATATTTTTAAAAAGAGCAATGATCTCCATCCAGGTGAGAGTTTTAACTCTGGAACAGAATAAGTATCTTTTCATTCCAACACACCTGAAAATGCATATGATGCAGATGCATGATATGCACTTCCTGTGTAAACAGGAAGAGGATTGTCTTTTCTGAAGTTGGTTGTTTAGTTGCAGAAAACTACAAATGAGAAACAGCAATAGTGAAAAGTAAGAGCAGAGATGTCTCTTCTTGACTCAATGACGGCGCGGAACCGCTGACACATTGTATTCTCATCCGTGCATCAACAGTGATGTGTTTGAAACTAAAAGGCAGTAGTGTGAATGTAGCCTACATAAACCCATTGAGAGAGATTATACAAACATGTAACACACCATTAGTTGTGTTATCTGCACTCGCATAAGTTCCTGAGCAGCTTCTGCATATGAACCGTCCAGTTTGAGAACTTCACCGAAGGACTGAGCAGCCTCATTATACCTCTGCAGGAAGAAGAAAGAGAGAAAGAAGATGAACTCTCCTCACTCTCTACTTTGGGACCAAATCAAAACATTGAGACTCATTGACCGTGACCACTAATCAGCCCAGTTATTCATGTTCACAGCAACTGCGAGTCAAAACAAGTCTGAGATAATAATGTGAGCCTGTGCAGCTCAGTGACACTTCAAATTAATTTGAGTTGCAATGAGGCCAGAGAGAACTCAAAGTCATTCCAACCTGAAAGGATGAGGGTAAACAAAACCAAGTGAAAGAAGTTACTTATTCACAGCCACAAACACTGAAGCGTGGGTCATGTTAATGGAGTGTAAAAGAACAAAAATCTCTCTGTGCAGGATTGAGATATCATGTACAAGAAGCCAAAAACCTTTTTTTGTTTTGTGAGGTCACTGTGATCTCGACTTTTGACCACCAAAATCTAGTTAATTCATCTTTGACCACATGTGAAAGTCTGTTCACGAGAATGGGACGGACAGAAAACGTGATGCAAGTAAAACCAGCATGAAACATTTTACAGTTTTGAAATATCTGCACATATTTTCTTATTTCATTGAGATCTTTACCTTTAGACCGGCCAGAGCTCTGCCCTTCCTAAAGCGACCTTTAACCCAGCCTGGACACAAATTAACACACAGCTCTGCATCTGCCAGCGCCTTCTCATATTGTTTCATCTTTTCAAAACAGAAGGAACGATTCCCAAACAACCTGCGACAGAAACAATAAGATTAAGTAAAAAGAAAAACAGTGGTGGTATGAGCATCATGTGCACATTTACTGTGAATGAAGTAGAGCTCTTACTTAAACTCTGTAGGGTTGTATTTAATTGCGTCAGTGAAGTATTTCACAGCCATATTAAAGTCTCCAGAACTTGCAAATCTATTTCCAATAACTGTAGGGGCAAAAGAAAAGATTATTCAAATATAAATCATCATATACATTTTGCCTGCAAATGATTATGAGGACATGTGACATCATCAACAAGTTGCATAGAGCTTGTGCACAATTCAAGCAAAACCCACCTGCGAGCTCAGTACTTATTTTTATATTATCTTCAATGGTGGGGATGCTACAGGCAGCAGAGGCCTGATCAGGCTGGAAGAGAGAATTGAGATGAGCAGTTTTATCCCGTGTAATAAAAAACAATCAAGTGATTATTACAGTTTTATGGTCGTTACTCGAAGAGTTATCAGTTGTGTTTCTTTTGCGAGATCAATCACCTCTGGCTGTCTGGTTTTACTTTCTTTAACCGGGACCTTCTTCTCTTTCCTCTCAGGCTTCGGCTTCTTCTCCATTTTACGCTTGGCTATGAGAGCAGCTTTAGTCACAAAAGTACTTGTCATGTCCAATTCCTTAAAAGATAAAGAAATAAAACATTAGGAACAGAAATACAACGAACCCCAGTTGTTAAGCCTGTTAAATATCAATATTCTAAACCTGCATCCCTGCATAAAAACCTTCGCTAAGGAGGTTGTTTTTGTTGGTGAAACATCCATGAAACTTGGCGGAAGGATGAGACATGAGCCAAGAAAGAACCCAATACATTCTGGCATGAACAAAAAGACAAAGGGGCAGACCCAGGAGTTTTCCTGGAGAATTATTCATGTTTCTTGATGAAACAAATCATGCATGGTTAAAGGACTGATATCTGCGAGTGTGTTATTTGGTGTAGCTTGAGTGAATTTAAGGGGGACTGTTGGGCCTTGGCAGAAGAATACGCTCTATATGTGTTCATATGTCACATGCTAGATATGAGTAAGAGAAGTATTAATAGATTAACTTCCTGTGTCATGTTTAAACGTGCGGCATGCAGCACAGAAAGTCATCATCTTAGATTCCTCAGATCAAATAGGTAGAAGAAAATTACAAGAGTGCAGGGATCAGATTTGAAATGTGAAACCTCATTCTGTGTAATAACAGATGTATGAATTGCAATAATAACAGGAGCACTTGGTACCTCACTTTCAAAGGGTTCATTCTCAGTGTTGCTATCTTCACCACTCGATTCGCCATCACTGCTCTCTGTATCTTGAGCTGAAGTCGACTTTTTAACACTGGAATCTGTATCATCTTTTTGTTTCCCATCAACGGGTTTACTATCCTCTGCTGTAGATTGCTGTGCATCAGTTTCTCCCTGCAAATCAAGAAAACACAAACATTACGTGAAGACTTGAGAATGAAACTTGACGAGTTTATTTTTAAGGTTCCCTTTTAAAAAGATGTTAAACATAGGATTTTACCTTTTCGGCTTTTAGGAGGTTCTGTTTTTCCTTCTCAAGCTGTTTTTTCCTCTTCTGATTCTGTTTGACAAGAATGCACAAAAGCTTTATCTACATATTTGAACACTCACTTATTACAATAATTTTCTTTTTAACCAGAGACAGAATTTACCTGTTTCTTAAGCTTCTTCTTCTCAGCCTTTTCTGTCTTTTTTCTAATTTCTTCAAGTAATCTGGCATTTCTTTCAGCTTCCTACCAGAGTTATATAACAAACATTAACCAGCGGAACTCTACAGAATCACTTCTCATCTTTAAAACATCAACATCAAGGACAGATACAACAAAAGTGAACTTACACTCTCTTTGACCTGAGGAGTTGGAGGGGATGGGCGAGGAATGTCACCAGTGTGATAACGCGGTGGAGGTAACCATCTCGTAATTCCATCATCATCCTCATCCGTGTATTCCAGACCTGTGAAGAAAAAGTTTGTCATAAAAAAATATAAGACTGTGTTGTGTGTGTGTATATGTCAAATCTTAAATGTAAATCATACCCCGGAGTCCAAAGTTGACAATCCTTTGAAGGCTACGGTCTCTGTTCAACATACCCACAACCTTCTGCTATTAAACAGGAGAGAAAGACATGTCAAAGGGCATTTTACCTAGTTGCTGACAATCATCATATCAGCCTTTAAACTTTCGTTTTCCCAAACTAGGCTGCCCTCCACCCCCTAAGTATAGTCAAAGCAAAACAAGGTTAATTTGTTTCTGAGGAATCTGATGCCAGTACGGACTGCAGTTAGGTTTCACTTTCCTTTGCCCTGGGGCTGCTCTGAGATCATCAAGAGTCCAGCCACTTCCTTTCTGAAGGCACAACAGACTGCATCTCATTTGTTGAGACTGTCTTTTAAAAGTAAAGATAAGTGAGGCAGTAAGACCAATCTTTCAAAGGTAGCAGAGGTCAAATCCTTTTTGGAGTTTTGTGACAACCTGATGTGACAGATGTGGTTTTGTTGAGGATATTGCAGATGACTCAGCTAATTTTGGCCACATCACAAGTTTCAGTGAACTACCACCAAGAACTTTTGTGCGTGTTACCTCAGCCAAGGTACTACTACTACTACTACTACTACTACTAATAATAATAATAATAAACTTTAGTTATATAGCTGTTTTTAAAAACATAGCTTACAATGTGCTTTGACAGCAAAGCAGGAAGAAGAAATATAAGAGAAATAACAATTCACAATGATGCAACGTGACAAGGAGGCCGGAAAACCTAGTTTAGCTGGAAACAAGGTAGGGTTCTAATGAAGTGAATAATATATAGAGCTGGGTGTGTCAGATGGAAACGTGAACACGCAAAAGCAGTAATATGAGAAGCAAAATAAAAGCTGAAAGTCCATAAAATGGGTTTTAAGAGGTGATTTAAAAGAAGTGGGAAGTCAGCTGAATTCAGGAAGCAGAGAACTTCAGTGTCACAACAGCAGCAGCTATTTGACAGAAATGCTCATGTTGAAATTCGCAAAGTTTGTAATCGTGGCTCTGTTTTCGATTTGATTCGATTGTCCAACACTGTAAAGACCATGCATGTACGTCCCCTGTGCTGTCTCTGTGTCTGTCTCCTTGATTGGCACAAGGAGCAGCAGCAGCAGCAGCAGCTGCGCAAACACAGCACACCTGTGTGCGGAACATCCACCGGAAGTGACCATGTGTGCACAACAGAACAGGACAGGTCAGAGTCTGACGAGGTGACCACCGTGTTAGAAACACTTCACCATGGCAGCTGCTCACACCTCTCACTGTGTTCACCGCCGCGGACCCACCGCTGTCTCAGCAGAACGCACAAGCAGCAGGTGAATTAAAGAGCCGTACTTACGATCATGTCCATGTCCATAAACTCTGGAAAAGAAGAAGACACGTTTGATGTTTCAGTGTCACATCGAACCAGTGTGTGTGTGTGTGTGTGTGTGTGTGTTTTGCGATGATTCATTAGTTTTTCTTCCTGTCCAGCGGTTACCAGCTAATTCACCGCCCACGACTCCTCAGAGGAGGAATTAGCATCTGCGCTAAAGCGCTTCCTCACCCGTCTCGTCTCTGTACATCTCCATGGTTCCCCCGCAGCTTCATATGCGCTTTAAATCCAGTTTATTACGCATTTATCTGCGTAACTCGTGCGTTTCAAAAGTTAGCAGCTAACTTTCGGCTCATGTCGCTCGCGCTCCCAACAAACATCGGCGTGAACGAGCGGAAGTCCGCTTGTTTCTGACGCATGCGCGCCGCAATGATGCTGCCGTTGCTGCCCTCTGCTGGACAGATGTGTCCTCCCTGCATTATATCATTTACATGATTTATTTAACAATGCTTTATAAAATATTACTTTATATTATATTGATTTTCTGCAACATCTATCTGTGTTGTAACATTAGTAATGTGAATGTAGTAATTGTGCCTTTATTTTAACTTTTACAGTTTATTTACATTTATTGGGAGTTAATGAATTAATTTTATTCTAGAATAAAAAGAACGACAGATTGAACGTGTTCATGGTTCCTTATTATAAAGCCATAGTTTGGAACCTTAAGGTTTCTATGTGTTATTGTTATTGCTGTATTATATGGCTTCTTTTAATCTATGTCTTACTATTAGTTCATATTACTTCGTACATCACAATGCTATAAAATATATTGTTTGTTAATATAATATAATGTGCACATATCTCATAATATTGCACATTGTACACTATATTTATGTATACTTATACCTATTTATATATATTTGACATATTTTATTTTTTCCACATAACAAGACTTTTGTAGTTGCAACAATTTTATAACTTTTGCAAATTTATATATTCAGAGAAATAACTGCTATATTAATTTATATAAAGGTTGGGTCTTTATATAATATGTGGAGCTTTCAGATGTTATTTCTTTAATGTCACATGTATTTCTCGTAAAAGGCTCTTAAATGAATTTTTGACTTCTGACTCTTGTGCTCTGAAAACGTTTAACATTTAATCTCAAACGGACTTGTAAAGTTGTATGTATATTATGTTTATTCTGTGTGTAGGCAATTAAAAAGCCATTTCTCTCAATTGCTTTGAAAACCCAGCTCAAGTTGATAATAAATTGACACAGAGAAAGTGGGATCATATTAAATCTTCAATGCATCACTCAGTTAATCATTATCATACATGCATTCACACATCACATTCAGAATTAGTTCAGGTAGACGACCACGTGTAATTTTAAACAACCACACACAAAAAATACCATTATTTAACAGTCAAATATGGAAATTATATATTGGAAATATTTATATATTATTCCCCCTATTTGTTTGTAAAATATCTTGCACAACAAACATTATCACACATTTAAAAACCTGCAAAATAAAAACTTTGCAAGTGTAGTAAATACAACATAAGGAATGCCAATTCCAAGGAATCAGATCTTATACAATCGTCAACGCATTTCCTGTCAGTAAAAATTAAATAACTAATGTATTTGTATTAAAGTAGCATCATTAAGATTGTGGTAGTTCACATTGTCTGTGCATGAGCCTGTGGATTCCAATGTTGCAGTTTCCCCAGTGTGGGGAAGTCGATCTTATCTTATCTTATCTTCAAAGCAAAGTCAGCCCAAAAAACCTGTCCTCTGCTAAAGAAGCCTCTGTATTCATTCAGTCAGAATTAATTAACACTGTGCTTTAAGTTACAATATTTCAGTAACAAATGTTGAGTAACTTTTTGATTTAAAACTGCAATCGGCTCGATATCCTGCCTTCACCTCATACAAGACAATGCCTTACAGAATTATGAAGCATCACGTGACTTCTTTCACAATGAGTGAAAGTGCAGCAGCACTTCTCGCTCCCTTTGAACTCAAAGCGGAGCAGCCTTTTCTTGGTCAAGAGGAACAACCTGGCCTTATCTCTTCGCCATAGAGTTCAAAGGTCCACCCTGAGTCATTAACTCTCAAATCAATAACCACATTGTAAAGTGACTAAGAGTAATGGAAAAAACGGTTTTGGGTTCATCTTATCTAACTGAGAATAAAAGTAAGGAAACTGCCATCGGTCTCTCTATTGAGATTTATTCTACCGTCCGTCCGAGGCGTACAGAGAATGCGATGAGTCTGTGGTAAACAGAGCTCAGGAGGACGATGGCCCCTATCACCATCCCGCAGATGAGGCTGAAGGCCCAGCGAGGTCCCAAGATCGTGTAAACCTGGGAGACGAAAACAGGACCCAATGTCCGTGCACCGCTGCCAGAGGCCGTCAACCACCCCATGTACACACCCTGCAGCGAGAAAATCCACATTAATGATTCTCAAATGCATTCAACCATTTCATCATGTTTTAAAAATAAAGCACTTTATCCTATAATCTACTATAATCTTCTCACCTGAGGTTTGGGTCCGAGGATTTTGGAATAAAGTGTGTAGGACATGACGTTGCAGGCTGGGTATCCCATGCCAATCAAGATGTCAGCTGAGATGTACTGACCGATGTGTATTGCGGGAGTATACTGGCACCAGGTCTGTTGATACGGGCATCCTGTTGGTTCTAAAGAGCTGTTGGAGGCTAACGTGGCCTCAGATATGTGACTGACCATTGAGTTGTTTTTTAGGTCTGGGTTCGGAAGAGAAAAAAATATTAATAAATCATTTTTCACTTCAACGGAAACATCTTGTGCCATTAAAACAATCCATACCCGCCCACTGGATTTTTGGGTAATGATTCCCCCATGGAAGCAGGGTAAAGAAACCACAGAATATAATGGCCAATCCTACCAGCAACACAGGACGATCCCCAACCCTGGCAGGAAGTAAACATCCCTGGTGTTTAACATAACTATGACAAGTTCAGGAGTAGTTGTCTTCAACAAATTCACGAGGAGCTGTACCTTTGAGAAGCCACTTTTACAACAAGGAACACAACGATGGATTCAAATCCAATGCAGCACATGATGATGCCATTGTATATTACAGCTTCTTTCCTTGTCCAGGCGAACATGTCCATGGAAAAAGGGGTGGCGATTCTGCAAAATCATAAACAAGTGAAACCAGTCAAGTGTAAATTCGCAGGCATGAGATACTAAGAACTGTCTGTTACACGCCGATTCGACTGCTTCTGTATTCTGCAATGAAATACGTACGTCTCAAAGATGGCAAAGATGAACATGACCATGAAGAAGAGGACGTTGGAGGTCAGGACAGCTATGTAATCAATGGTTTCCTCAGTTTCTTCACTAATGTCATCTCTATCTATAGCAGAAGAAAAGGGGGGGGAATAAATGCTTTAACCAGGAAACACTGGGATTCACGCTGTAAAGCAGCTTTCAGACATGCACTGAAGTCCGGGTATCTTCCTGACAATTTCCAGTGGGGCTGTAGAAGAGAAGTCTGAGTCAGTTGCTCCACACATTTTCCAGAACGAATCCTCTCAGTCCCCTAGTTAATTGGGCTGAGACCATTTGAAAAAACAGCAAGAAGAATTCCAGAAAATTTACAGCGAGCGAGTCGGCGTTTTGATAATGTTTCTAAGACACAACAAATGCATACTGGAAGGATACAGATATCTCAGAATGAATGAATGTGAATTTTTCATCACAATATCTACTTTGCATTTGTGTTCAATTAAAACATGTGTTCTTAAAAAGCAGAGCAGGACATCACATACCTTCTGTTATGACGTTGATGGCTTGGATGTGTCTTCCATGATCATCCACACGATGCTCTCTGTTGATGAACATAGTAAGGTTATCTTTGTTCCATGTATTTAAATATCAAAAACTATGTGAGCACTTTACATATTGTGTATTTGTGCAGGGGAAATCATCACCTCAGCACCAACAGGACCAGCAGGATGTTGATGAGGCCAAAAGCTGCAGCCAGTAAAGCAGGAGCAGTGTACATGTTGAGCTGCAGATCTATGAACTTCACCGTGAAACCGTGCTCGCCGATGAACGACAGGCATGCCTGAAGTGCTGTCAAATGCAAACACATGCAAATGTTAAGAATTAAACCAAAAACTTCTGTCCTTGTTGACTTTTCAAAGCATACACTACACTGACAGCACTGCTAGCACGCTGGGCAGCTTTGCATGATCATAACAACATGCAGGCATCGTTACCCGGTCCGAGGATGAAACCCAGGGCCTGACAGGCGCTCATGTTCGCCATAGCACCGGTTCTCTCCTTGAGCGATGTTGCCTCAGCAACATACGACCTCACCACAGCAACGTTGCCTGCCACGAAAAGACCAAATCTACTTTTAGAGGATGTGTGACACTGATCATCAAATTGCAAATGGGGGGTAATGTACATATGTTTGAGAGAAAATAAGAATCCCACACATCACCTGCTCCAAAGCCGACAAAAGCTCTGGACAAGAGGATGTGGAACTTGTTGCTGGTCGTGGGCAGGTATGCATAGGCGTAATAGATATTGCCCAACAGGTTGATGAAAATGGAGCACACCAGTGGCTCCCTGCGTGGTCGGTGATTAGACCACAGGCCGAAAATGGGTGAGGCCACCATCTGACCGAGGCTGTAGGCTGCCACCACCCATCCCAGGAAGCTGGCGTTGGCGCTTGCATCCATCTATGTGAAAAACAGATAGAAGAAAAAGTAAAAGCACAAGAATGACTTTTTTTACTATGCAAAACTATGAACAAGTACCATCATTGACACATGCAGATATATTTGACGTGGGAAGTCTTCCTGCTGAATCCAAAGTTGAGTCCCTAAGTGATTATATATAATCTTTGACTTCCTTTTTACCCTGCATTTGCATTTAAACAGCAAAAGCACTGCCCCTTAATCAAAACAAATTCAGAGTCACACATACCTTATGCAAATAGGGCCAAAGTGATGTGATGACTATAGTGAAACCTGAAAGTGAACACAACACATTGATGATTTGGATGCTGCCAAAAATCCCAAACTCCATACCAAACACAACATATTCAGAGTCTATGAGGGAAACAACATAAATAAAACCTATTCATCTCTTAAGGTGCATGTTCTTCCCATGTCTGCATTTACCTCAGCTACTCCAGCGTCCTGCCACAGTCCAAAGACACATAGTGGTTAAGTTAACTGGAGACTTTGTTTACCCCTGAAACTCCAGAAGTGTTGTGTGGACTCAAACAATTCACCCACCGCTCCATCGACACAGTGGTGAGTAGATAATGGGGGAATTTTCATTTTTGGGTGAACTATCCCTTTAATATGTAACTTGTGGCTTTCCTCACCGACGCTGCTGAGGAACATGGTGAAGTACATGACTCTGATGGACCTCCACCGACTCCTGTAGTCTCCATCCTGGGAGTCATCGCTGCACATAAGGGGGGACAGGACAAGACAAGGGGACAGTACAGGAAAGGACAAGATGAGACAGGACAGGACAAGACAAGGGGACAGTACAGGACAGGACAAGACAAGACAAGGGGACAGTACAGGCAAAGACAGGATGATAGGACAGGACAAAACAAGACAAGGCAGGAGGACAGTACATGACAGGACAGGACAAGACAAGGGGAAAGGACAGGTGGTGTGAAGTTACTGACAGGCTGGTAAAACAGTCTAACATGAATGCTTTACACAATGCACGGTATTCACTTCAGTGTTCTGCAATGTTCGTGCAGTTGCATCACTCCGTGTTTACGGATCTAATAACTCAGCTGAACTCTGTAGTTCGTGGTTGAACTCTCGCCCTCACCTGCTGGCATCGTCCCGGAGCAGCGGCGTGTCATCGTCGGAGTCAACAAGTAGCGACATGTTCCCTGAAAACCCAGAGGGACGGAGTCGCCAACTTTGCAGATATGAAACTGTGCTGCTACTTCGCCATTCAGCAGCGGGACAACTGCGCTACACCGAAATACAGCCCCCGGGCGGCTAGCTAGCTACGGTAGCAACCCGAGCTAGCATTCGCATTGTTATATGATACAACTCTGGTCTAACCTGCTCCACACGTGATGCTCGGAGTCATTTCAACCCGACGTCCTTACACAAGCTAGGTGGCTAATTGGACTATTGCACCAGACAACAACAATTCATTAGCAATAAAGCTAACGTACTTGAAATGGAAACTTCCGCTCAGGCTTTTCAAAATAACCTCAAATCACTAATTAATCAAAATGAAATGTCATGTTTGTTTTCATTGAGAGCAACTACTCGCATCCATATATAGTCATACATAGACTGTATATGTATGTACAGTCATAATAAGGCATAATCTTAATTTGTTAGCGTTGTAGTACAGCTATTACCGACTTCGTGGTTTTATTTTGGAGACAATATCACACAACATCCGGGTGTTTTCCGTCCACCTTGACGCAGAAAACTCACGTGTTAGAAATCACATAAACATGTCAGAGCAGTGGATCAGGTCCCGTGTGCTCCATTAAAGCGTGGAGCATTTTACATGTGAACACAAATACACTTATTATAAAGGCTCTTATTATAATGTGACGCACTGTGATCTGAAGTTCAGGTTCAAGGGTCTAAGAAGAACAAGATGCTGCAAACACCTTTACATTTCTGTGCTTCTTGTTATTGTGGAATTTATTTTGTGAGTGTTTGCATGTTGGCGTTTGCACGAATACACCGGAGCAAATGTTGTGTTACTCCATTCAACAAAAGAATCCAGTCCTTCGTGGGGGGGGGGGCTCCCAGCTGAGGGGCCCCATGATCTCCCCTGCTTTGCAGATCAGGTAGCGACGCCCCTGCTGCCATCAGAGTGTATCTGCGCCCTGGTGGTGAATCCTGGTAGCTGAATCTAAAAACTGCGTTTTATGGAAAGTGAAAGGGAGAGTGAACGTGCAGACAAAGATCAAACACTTTCGTCTTTCATTTTCAAGGTCTACGAGGAAATTTGCTCGATTACGGGAGCTCGGATCTGATTCTAAACCTGAACTAGGTGTTGATTTCTGTCTTTGAAGTCAAATCCTGGACCTGCTTGAAGCATATTTCCATCTGGGATCACGATGGGTAGGCCTACCTTTCATTTTGCTGCGACAGACCCACATTTACCTTTACTCTTTTATTATTGAAGTGGTACTTATTCAAACCAGATCATAAAGCGTGGATTATCATATGTTATGTGTGTCTCCTCTCTGAATTAATACTCCTTTCATTTGACAGGTTTACACATGAGATGTGTAACACGCATGGCCCCTTTGGTGCTTCTTTTCTCATCTTTGTCAACTGCTGCCTCTGGTAAATGTACACTTTTCCTCCATTTTACAATATATTAACTCTACATTCTGACTTTTTTTTATGCATGTGATCAGGTTATTGTGGCAATAACAGTTTTTTTCTGGATAATAAACATTCATTTAATTAATGAATTACCATGTTAACCCTTACTAAACCAAATCATAAAATGAATACATATAAATAAACATACTTGGGTAAATGATGCATCCACTAAGTCAACAAAGCATCATCTTCATCAGGAACAATTCTTAATTAATTGGCACAATAAACTCAAACCAACATGCATGGTCTCAAACAAAGGGATTTGGCTGGATACAGGTGAATCCCTCTTCCAACCCTGACCTCTATGGTCCTGGATTCTGGCTGAAGATTGTCAAACAAACATGCTGTTGTAGATACAGTTTTAGTTACAAAGAATTTTTCACTTAATATTATATTTTCGCCAAAATACAGAAGACAAAAACATTATCTTGACTAATAGCATTTATTCTGTTGCAGTTTCAAAGAGCCTCGTGGTTTTGGTCAGGTCACCTGTCTTAGAGCCCCTGGGTGGAGAAATCACACTACCATGCTGGCTCAATCCACCACAGAGTGCCGAGGCTCTGGAGGTACGCTGGTACCAGAATGATCGATTCGATACCCCAATCATACATTATCAGAATAAAGAAATGGTAGCAGATCCTTCGTACGTGGGCCGAGCCTCATTTGCCCTAAAGGATGCAGCATCCGGTGGGCTGGGAGCAGGAGATGTGAGCCTGAAGCTGCAAAATGTCAAGATTGAAGACGTGGGAGATTACATTTGTTATGTGAGCAGTGATCATGGTTATGACCGTGGAAGTGTCAGTCTCAAGGTGACAGGTGAGTGTCAGTGAGAAAAAAAACATTCTAAAAAATGTCTCCACCTTTACATCAAATCTTCTTCCTCATCATTCCACTTCTAGAAATGGGAACCAGCCCGCTCCTGTCAATGGCGTGGGCAGAAGAAAATGTGGTGAATATGAGCTGTGAATCTGAAGGCTGGTATCCGAAGCCGAGGCTGCACTGGACCGACCACAAGCACAATCTGACCCCAAAGAGTTTGCAGTACAGCAAAGTCTCTTCTGGTCTTGTGTCAGTCCACAGCTGGCTGCTGGTCCCGAGCTCTTCAGAGGTTTCCTGCTTAGTGGGTCTCTCTGATGAGGACGTAAAGGAGGCAAGAGGGCGTCTGGGAGTCCTTCCTCAAGCTGACAAACAGGGTACAGAAAATTGTCTGACTCTTAATTTTAATAGAACATTAATAAAACATTTATTAAGATGTATGGTTTTTTATTTAGTGCCTGGATCAGTGCCTGGATTGGTGATCACCATTCTAGTCCTTGTGGCCGTGTCAGCTGTACTTGGAGGACTGTACATCAAAGAGAGAGGTACACATTGTCAATTTCTTTCAGCTTTCACGCAATAAAAAGGAGATTTGAAGAAATTCATCAACACAATCAAAGTCACAAATCATAGTTTTAATGTGATGTTCATGTAAGTATTAACTGATTCTGTGCTGTATCAGGCAGTTTGCAACTAACAATTATTCCATTATGGCAAATTTTGTGTCAGAAAATAGTGGCAAAAAGTCAGTTTATTAAGTTTACCTGACTGCAGAAAATCCAGCAAATAATTTTACTTAATTTTCACCTCTAGTTTTACGGAAGAAAGACAAATCAGAGAGGAGCCAACCTGAGGGTAAGAAATACCTCACACAATCACATGGAGCGCATTTCATTATTAACTCAGTAGAGCGCATACCACCAATAACGGCCCCCTTAAATTAAATCAATTCACACCAAGTTTCTCACACAGAGGCCAGTCCCCTAAATATTCCTGATTTCTTTCATCAAGATCCATGAATTATTCACTGGGAAAACGGTGAAAATGCCCCTCCCCCCAAAAAAACACTCAAATCCACAGCTTTAAAGCAAGTAAAAGTAAATTCCTGACCTGTCCCTTTCTCCGGATCCACACTAGAATTTAAAGCTTTCTTCCAGGACCCATACTGGATCCTTCCACAAGTTTGGTAGAAAGTTTTTTTTTCTTCTGGATAATAAACATTCATTTAATTAATKMATTACCATGTKWACCCTTACTAARCCAAATMATAAAATGAATAMATATAAATAAACATACTTGGGTAAATGATGCATCCACTAAGTCAACAAAGCATCTGTAATCTCCATCAGGAACACATATTTCTCTCATATCGCCAGAAAACGTTCAGGGCTATAAGATGATAAAATTGATGGTTATAATACAGAGGATGGAAAATGAATTCTTAATTAATTGGCACAATAAACTCACACACACAAGTTCGGTAGAAATCCGTCCAGTACTTTTTGTTTCATCTTGTTTACAAGCAAGTATATGTATGTGAATTTATTTAAAAAACAATCTGAGCTCATGGGTTAACTTTTATGTTTTGTGTTTCCAGAGAATAAGAAGCTTTTACAAGAAGGTAAGAAGTTACTCACCCACTCATTGTTCTCATGACATGTATTGAATTTAAATAGGAGCAGACTGTCCTTACGTGCTGGAGATTTGTGTTGAGTCCATGTTTACTGTGTCTGTATTTGTTTTACAGTTGAGGGGACATCTCTTGAAGAGGCCAAAAAGCATTATGGTAATCTAAACTTTTAAGAGAATCACACTGACCATATACATTATACATCAGCCTATTATGACTCTGTCTGATTCAAATCAAATCTTTCATTTTTCAGTAAATATTGAACTCGACAAAAGTACATCGAATCCAAACATCATAATCAAAGATTGTATCTTCAGAGAAAACATTGGTCCTGATGGAAAAGCAGTTACCTGTCTCACAGCGATTAGGGGAACCCCTGGCTTCACTTCAGGACAACACTACTGGGAGGTGTCTTTGGAGAAACCTGGAGCAGGGATCAAACAGTCCTGGTGGGTGGGGGTAACACAGGCAACTGACTTCCCTCTGCAGGCTGAGGCTCTTTCTAGCCCATCTAATGGTTTCTGGTTCCTGTCGTCCTCCCCTGTCAGAGCAGTCAGCCTTCAGTTAAACACAGAATCAAAGGTTTTACTGCCTGTCAGCTCAAGGCTGAGAACAGTTGGTGTGTATCTGAATTATGACAGTGGAGAGCTTTCCTTTTTTAATGTTGAAGATGAATCTGTCATTGTGTCTTTCATAACTACATTCCATGGTGAAGTCTTTCCGTTTTTCAATCCTGGTATAGGTGACAAAGCACCGATGGAGATATTAAAGAGGACAGAACAGTGAATGTAATGGCATGGGCAAAAGAGCCTGAATCTTAATATCTTTTGAATCCAACTTTTCTATATTAATAGTTATACAGATACGGCAAATAATAGTGAAAAGCATAGAGGGGCGAATCATAACCTGTACATGTGTTGTATATACTTTATTGTGAAAATGCCATTTCATCATGACAGCATGTAAACTACATGATGATGCATGATAATCTAAATAAGATGTAGGTCATGTCTCTGTATTCTTATTGGTTGCAAAATGTAATGCATTCCTACACTGCTACACATCTGAATTATAATGAATTTATATTGACGCCATAATTAAGTCATTCCTTCTATATAATCATTCAGTGATATTATTCATCATATGATGAATAATAATTGTCTTATCACTATAAGGTTTAGATTGTCTCTATTGTTTGCAGAGCTTTCTTGGTGTGTAGGGCCCTGACCCATACCACATCCTTCCAGAACTTTTTGTTAAATATTTCTTACAAGATATACAAGATGTTCTTTGCTCTACTTTTTTATCTCATATAACGTTCATGTTACGATTGATGTGTTCACATTTTAATACCTGAATAAATTCAATGAATCTGAAATCTGGCATCTTTTAGTTGTTTCACTTTTTGTTGTGTCCTCGGCGTAAAACTCACTTTACAGTCCAGTTTAAGAAAACACAGCAAAATGTCATACACTTTAATAAGTACAGATAGTATTTACATTATGTACACCATAACACAATACTAACTTTGTCATCACTACTGTATACTTTTCATAGATTAAGAAGTATTTACATTATGAATACGACCATGTGTTGATTCGGAAATAAAATTTGTTTGGATATTCTTCTCATATATCGCAATAAATTCAAGTAGGCGTGCCTCGATACATACTAGTCTGAAGATGATCATGATAAGAGGTATGCAAGAACCGATACACAGACCAGTGCATCATAGTCCAAGACTTTGAGGAATACTTCTTTAAAACACTTGTCTGTTGGGTGTTGTGGGCTGATATCAAACAAACTATACAAGTTCATACACTTCTCAGTCCCGAAGACGTAGTTTTTCTGTGGGGTTTTTTTTTTAACCATCAGAACCATTGGCGTCTTCCTCCAAAGCTTTAAAGTCATGTTTGGTCATCAGCGTTCAATGGAGGAAAATGCTAGACAGAAGATCGCCTGTTGTAGTGTGTCCCGGTGGTCTAGAGGTCTAAAGCGCACACCGTATCACTGCAGACACCTTCTCTACTTCGTATCTCATAACAGCCTCCACTCCACTGTCAACTAGCTAGTAAAAATGACATAAAAAACAGATCTTTAAAAAAAATGCATTCACTGTGTCTGAACTCATATTCACAATTACAAGAACATCTTGTCCAACCACTTAAAAATACATCTCAGAAACAGACACTGGGGATCCCAACACTGAGAACGAACGATCCTTAACTGGAGAAACAGCATCCGTTTCTTAGCTTAGTCACTTTTATTACACTTCTCCCTTATGACCAGGGTGATGAGACGGGGAAAGATGCTCTCCACCACGGCCAAGAGTTTATATCTTCGTGTGATTGCTGGTGGTTTATACAGTATGGTACGTGTCCCTCTGTCACATCTTTTTTTTAACCGTTTTTTTCTCTAGCAAACTGCGGCGGCGCTTTCCCTCCTCCCCTGCTTCTTCAGCAGCTGGATGCGGTTGTGGACGTAAAACTTGATTGCCCTCCAGTCTCGCTGGTTGCTCACCAGCAGAGGGCAGAGTTCGAGGCAGCGCTCACAGTCTGCCTTCGCAGGGACTCGCAGCTCCATGAGGTTTCGCTTCAGGTGAGTCTCCACTGCTACACGCTCTGCCTCCGACCAGGGACGCTTCAGTACACCACGCTTCCCTGTGAGAAAGACGAGGTGTTGCAGAATTTAAACAAAAAAAGTGAACAGGATTCTCTGTTTATCAGACTGATGGTTACCTGATTTGGGTGGAATACATCGCCTCTTGTGGACGTTGGCTATAGATGGGCTAACTGGAGATGGAATGGACACTCTCTTCTTCCGCGGCGGTCGACCCGGTCCTTTCTTCTTCACTATTACCTCAACCTTCTCCTTCACTTCCTCCTTCTCTTCTTCTGCCTCAGAAACCTCTGAAAAGGAGTCTGCTGAGTTTCCAGACATCACTGTAGGACAGAGATAAACCAGAGGGTCAAATCAAAATAAATAGCACAATCATTTCTGAGTAAAGGGATCAACTGCAGTACTGTAATGTACCTCCTGGGGGCTCACTACAAATTGGCAGTGAAAAGTGCTTAAACCAGCAGACTGACTGGTGGAGTCATGTAATAATGCACCAATTAAATTGTGCCTTGGATTAGAAATATTTGTTATCTTACTAATAATGTGTTCTTTGGCTCTAAGTGTAGTATTTGAGCTTTAATCAAGTCATATATCTGATGTTGTTTTGCTTTCAAGAGAAGACTTGAGGGGGATATAGGGTATCCTAAAAATAAATAATGAAAACATAAAAAACAAACAATTTCAAAAAACATACAAATAATTTTTCAACACATGGTTTGAAGCGTCTACTCATGAAATTTTTGTTGCAAGAAAGATTTCTCAAAAAGTAAAAACAACAAATAAGCCAATCTATTCTATACATTTGGATCCTCCACAAATGTTATTGTGAATATTTTCTGTCAAGTAAAGCTTTCCACTGTCCACCACTGTTGATTAAACCACTTCAAAATGATTTAAGTGACTGAAATAAAATGTGCGTGCGTGTGCGTGCGTGTGTGTACCATCCAGCTCAAGGCAGATGTGCTGCAGACTCATCCCTCTGAAAAGAACACCTTCCTTCTCTCCATAAAGAACAACACGACCCACCCGGCCCATGAGAGCAGGATCACGAATGATAGAGGAGCAGTTCTGGGTCACGTGGTACTCTCTCTCCAGGAAGTCCTCCAAGCGTTTGGTTGATCCACCTTGGCCTTCACCCTCCTCCAACAGTAGCAGCTGTGTAAGGATAGCTACCTGCCGCCTTGCTCTTGTTGCTGTCAGTGCTCCCGGGTTCTTAGCCCCGCTGGCTCGAGCCAGATTCCTCAGGAGGTCCGTGCCCCGGAGAGGGGTGGCAGGAGAGTGGTACGGCCGGGAGAACACGTATGGGCTCTCTGGGTCCACACCAACATTGGGGCTGGTTTGAAGGAGCAGGTCCAGGCAGGACTCACAGTGTGGGGGGAGAATAAGCGGCTGGACGCGACCACGCTTGCCTAAAACGCCGGCCCGTGGGAGATGAGAGAGGACCTGGCGCTCAAAGGGGGACAAGAGGGCTTCCATGCCGGAGGGGGGGCTGGTGCTGGAGATGGCCTGTGGGGTGATGCGGCTGCGGTAGTCCTGGATAGTAAGTTTGGCCACCTCACATTCCCGGTGGCGGTTGTAGAGGATGAGCAGGGAGAGGCTGGAATGGCAGAGCAGGCGCCATGCCTCGGCGGAGTGAGGAGAGCGGGTTAAAGAAAGGAAGGAGGAGTGCTGCTGGCGGCGGAGGTAGAGGACCAGACAAGAGAGGGAGGAGAGCAGCGGAGACATGTGATGTCTTTGTGTGCTGAAAACAGTGAGAAACAGCCGTTAAATTAGTGATGCACAATCCAGCAACTAATGTTATCAATAAATAAAAATGGGAAACGAGTATCAGAGACAACCAAACCTTATAATCTCTCCATTCTTCTCTTCTGCAGGTTCATCTTCACCTTCTGCACTCAGCTCTAGTTCTTCTTCTGGATCTATGTCAGGCTCTGGAGTGGGGGGTGGAACTAGCTCCTCTTGACTTCTTGCGCTCTCCACCTCCACCTTCTGCTGCTCCTCCTGCTTTTCTTTCTTCATTCTCCGACCCCTCCTTGGAGTAGGCGGAGCAGGCGGCGGCGATGGACTCTTAACCCTGGTCACCACAGGAGGTGCAGCGCGTTTTGCAGCAGGTGCTGATAAGCTCGGCCCCTTCTTAGCCGCTGTGGGCTGACCCGAAGGAGGCGGGGAAAGCGAGAGGGAGAAAGAGACGGCGCCTGTGCTCGAGCGAGTAGCTGGCGATTCCCTCTCCCTGGAGAAGAGAGAGGGTGGCGCAGGGTTCGAGCCCGAGGGCTGTGGGACAGCAAAGGAATGACTGTGAGTAGCAGAGGTGGAGGACGACGAGGGTTGAGGGTGAGAGGTGCTGCCGTTTGAGGAGCTGTGAAGGTGTGCCAGCTCCATGGCTGTTCTGACCTCAGGCTGGTTGGCGTGGTGTTTCTCCAGGTGCCGTGCTAGAGAGCGATAGTGGCGCCCGCAGTACGGGCAGTGCTGCCGCCGGCTCACTGTGGCACCGCTGGAGCTGCCGATGTTAATGTTGATGTTGTTGTTGATGTTGGTGGTCGGGGGAGCCAGGGTGCTGGCTGGGGACTGGGACTGGGATCTGACTGGGGGTGTGACAGGCGCTGGGCGGGAAAAGGAAGAGCACGGGCGCCCAGGTCCTCTGGAGGAGGTGGGTGAGTTCTTTTTCTTTGAATCAACAGCGGTTGGCAACTTGCGCTTCTTGCGGCGCCGCAGCATTCGGCCCCGAATTTCTTCGATTTCCTCTTCTTCATCATCATCGTCATCATCATCATCTTCCTCCTCTTCGTCCTCCTCGCGATCGGAGTCACTGGGTTCAGAGTGTGTGAGTGGGGAGGATGAGGGTGATAATGACCAGGAGGGGGTAAGGTAATCGGAAACAGAGAGGGACAGTGGGTGGGGGCCAGCCTCATCCTCCTGGTGAGAGACAAATTTCAAATTCATTAACAGGGTCTGCAGTTCTATTAATTCACAAAAAAACACTGTGTTCCTTAATTTCCAAACATATTCGTTTTGATGTTTTCATCGGATGAGTTTACATTAAGAAGACTATAACCAGAATTATTTATAATGTCCTTATCTGTAGTTGCTCACCATTGCATTCTCGCCCCAGTCTGTCAGGCTGTAATCCACTGTGATCTCCTCCCCTTTGGCGATGTCGCGGATTGCTATGACGACCAACCGTACCTGCGTCCCACAGTGGACCTCTCGGATGCGGCAGTTGGGTGGCGGATGGAAAAGCACGGGCCCCCGAACCCCACTCGCCCCTTCCTCTCCCAACTCTGGCACACTGAAAAATGCAACCTGATGTTAGTAACATGGATCCTCTATGAAAAATACAAAACAGGCAGCAGATCACAGCGACCATGGTTGGTAAGGGGTCTCCTTACCAGAGCTGAGCAGGATCGGGCAGGTAGTAGGGGCTGCCAGGTGGAGGGAGGCGGTCCTCTGCACCCTCTGGGTACTGGCCCTCACCTGAGATGGAGAAAACTGTTTCTATCCATCACATCATAACAGCTTCATCAACAACAAGCCTTATGTTAGAAAGATAAAAGGTGTTGCCTTCCAACAATACACTGATGACTACAACACTTGTTTTCTATAAGCACCAGAATGGATGAAAACACCAACAGCATGTGGCAAAATGATTGTGTGTGTGTGTGTGTGTGTGTGTATATACCAGGGCTGTAGCTGTGTTCTGACATACT